AGAAGAGTAGAGAGCAGAGATCTAAGATGACGAGTCTAGAAGACAGACGCTGAGAGACAAATCTAAGAGAAAGTGCAGAGAGAAGTCTAGATAAGTGACGGTGCTAGAGAGAGGACGGGAGGATATCTAGAGAATCAGACTCTGTCTGATGCAGTTTTCCTAGTATCTTTTCGCGCTCTGCAGCGCTGCTTGCACGCTCTCGTAGCTGGGTCTGAACGCTCTAGACTCAGTCTCTGCGCTCTCTCGGCTGTCTCTATGCTTGCTATCGGCTCTGCGATGGCGTTCTCGCGTCTCGGCTCTCATCTGCGCTCTGCCTCGACTCTCTTTCTGCTCGAGTTGCCAGGCCCAGTCACCCCCTAGGCCTCGCTCGAAGAAAAAGCCACGAAGCCCTCCCTCCCTCCCTCCCTCCCTCCCTCCCTCCGAAAGAAAAGAAAGAAAGAAAGAAAGAAAGAAAGAAAGAAAGAAAGAAAGAAAGAAAGAAGAGAATGCACACACACACAGGCGATGGTACAAATATTAGTAAGATGCCATAACATTTTCTGGCTGAAGTACACTCTAGTCTTCTTGTTATTATCGGACATTGGCAAATCAACTCCAATAACAAACTGGGTTACAACTACACAATGTACTCAAGGTCACATCGACCTTGGCGAACTATACTGACCATTGGCTTATCTTGACCCCATGCGGCCATATTACAGACAACCACAGGTCAGAGTGACCACAGTTTAGCCTGGAGAGCTTCCAGGAAACATTTGCAGTGGTGGGGCTAACATCATCCACCAAATATTTAACCTCAGTTGGTAAACTTTTTATCTCCTCCTCAAAGAGTTGCAGATGTTGTTTTGAGGTAAACAACATTTGTAATGTAGACACAGTCTAGATCACTGTTGTTACTTTATTTTAAAAAACACTGTCAGTACTAAACACCTCCCCACTTGATTACAAAAAGAACATCAGAAAATACACCAGAATAGTGTATTTCGAGGAGAAATTGTAGCTTACAAATAGATAGGCCTACAGTGAGGGGAAAAAGTATCCCCTGCTGATCCCCTGCTGATTTTGTACGTTTGCCCACTGACAAAGAAATGATCAGTCTTTAATTTTAATGGTAGGTTTATTTGAACAGAGACAGAATGACAACAAAAAAATCCAGAAAAACGCATGTCAAAAATGTTATAAATTGATTTGCATTTTAATGAGGGAAATAAGTATTTGACCCCTTGTCACGATCGTCTGGGTAAGGAGTAGTAGACCAAGGCGCAGCGTGTGAAATAAACATGACTTTATTTAATTAAAGTTCCTAAATCCAAAACAAAACACGATTCATGAAGTCCAACGGTTCAACATACCGAAACGGAACAAAAACCCACAACACCCACAGGAAAACATACAGATTAAATATGGCTCCCAATCAGAGATAACGAGCCGACAGCTGACACTCGTTACCTCCGATTGGGAGTCATTGACCAAACATAGAAATAAACCCAACAGAAATACAACCCTAGAAATACACCCAAATAATGAACACACCCTGGCTCAATATACAGAGTCCCGGAGCCAGAGCGTGACAGTACCCCCCCCCTAAAGGCGCGGACTGCGACCGCGCCTCAACTAACCAAAACAGGGGAGGGCTGGGCGGGCATACCTCCTCGGTGGCGGTTCTGGCTCCGGCCTTGATCCCCACCTCCTCTCCAACCCCCCAAAGTACCCCTGGTCCTGTCTAGCCCCGCCGGCCGGAGCCAGACTGACGACACGCGCCCCTGGCTTGGTGCGTGGAGGACGAACGGGCCTTACCAGGCTGACGACGCGCACCACTGCCTTGGCGCGGGGAGCAGGAATGGGCCGGACCGGGCTGATGAAGCGCACCCCTGACTTGGTGCGGAGAGCGGGACCGGACCGGACAGGGCTGACTCCCCGCACCACAGACTTGGTGCGGGGAGCAGGATTGGGCCAGACCGGGCTGATGAAGCGCACCCCTGACTTGGTGCGGAGAGCGGGACCGGACCGGACAGGGCTGACGACACGCACCACAGACTTGGTGCGGGGAGCAGGATTGGGCCGGACAGGGCTGACGAAACGCACCACCAACTTGGTGCGTGGAGCAGGAACAGGTCGGGCAGGGCTGTCGACGCACACCGTAGACCTAGTGCGTGGAGCAGGAACAGGCTGGGCTGGGCTGGCGACGCACACCGTAGTTCTAGTGCGTGGAGCAGGAACAGGCCGGGCTGGGCTGGCGACGCACACCGTAGTTTTAGTGCGTGGAGCAGGAACAGGCCGGGGTGGGCTGGCGACGCACACCGTAGTTCTAGTGCGTGGAGCAGGAACAGGCCGGGCTGGGCTGTGGAGACGGATAGGAGACCTAGAGCGAAGAGCGGCCACCACCCGTCCTGGCTGGATGCCTACCCTCACACACTCTGCGTGAGGCATCCGCACAGGACGTACAGGGCTGTGAACCCGTACCGACATGACAGCACGCGATACGGGAGCAGGATATCCGGGACCGCGGAGAGGCACTGGAGACCTCGAGTGTAGATCCGGCACACTCCGTCCTGGCTGCATCCCCCCCTTCGCACGACACGTGCGGGGTGCTTGCACAGGACGTACAGGACTGTGCCGGACCACTCGTGGCACAGTACGCTGCTCCGCATACCGCGGAACCTGCCCCGTCCCACGCTGCCATGCCTGAGTACGGGAAGTTGGTTCCGCTCTACCTCCAGGCCTCGCCAACCTGCCTTCTGCCTCCCAACACCCGGTGACCACCTCTCCAAAACGTCCTGTAGCAGCCGCCTGCTGCCCAGCCGCCCAAGCCATGTGCCCCCCCCAAAAAACTTTTTGGGGTTGCCTCTCGTCCTTCCGACGATGGCCCTGCTGACGCCGTTGCTCCTCTCCTGCCAGGTTCTCCCCCTTCATCGCCCTCCGGTACCGGACGGCCTCCTCCTGCGTAATCTGTCCCCAGCCGAGGAGGACATCCACCAGCGTTCTCTCCTGCGGGTGTTCCTGTATACGCTGCTTGGTCCTTTTGTGGTGGGTTTTTCTGTCACGATCGTCTGGATAAGGAGTAGTAGACCAAGGCGCAGCGTGTGAAATAAACATGACTTTATTTAATTAAAGTTCCTAAATCCAAAACAAAACACGATTCATGAAGTCCAACGGTTCAACATACCGAAACGGAACAAAAACCCACAACACCCACAGGAAAACATACAGATTAAATATGGCTCCCAATCAGAGATAACGAGCCGACAGCTGACACTCGTTACCTCCGATTGGGAGTCATTGACCAAACATAGAAATAAACCCAACAGAAATACAACCCTAGAAATACACCCAAATAATGAACACACCCTGGCTCAATATACAGAGTCCCGGAGCCAGAGCGTGACACCCCTCTGCAAAACATGACTTAGTAATTGGTGGCAAAACCCTTGTTGGCAATCACAGAGGTCAGACGTTTCTTGTAGTTGGCCACCAGGTTTGCACACATCTCAGGAGGGATTTTGTCCCACTACTCTTTGCAGATCTTCTCCAAGTCATTAAGGTTTCGAGGCTGACGTTTAGCAACTCGAACCTTCAGCTCCCTCCACAAATTTTCTATGGGATTAAAAGGTCTGGAGACTGGCTAGGCCACTCCATGGACCTTAATGTGCTTCTTCTTGAGCCACTCCTTTGTTGCCTTGGCCGTGTGTTTTGGGTCATTGTCATGCTGGAATACCCATCCACGACCCATGTTCAATGCCCTGGCTGAGGGAAGGAGGTTCTCACCCAAGATTTGACGGTACATGGCCCCGTCCATCGTCCCTTTGATGCGGTGAAGTTGTCCTGTCCCCCCAAAGCATAATGTTTCCACCTCCATGTTTGACGGTGGGGATGGTGTTCTTGGGGTCATAGGCAACATTCCTCCTCCTCCAAACATGGCGAGTTGAGTTGATGCCAAAGAGCTCGATTTTGGTCTCATCTGACCACAACACTTTCACCCAGTTCTCCTCTGAATCATTCAGATGTTCATTGACAAACTTCAGACGGGCCTGTATATGTGCTTTCTTGAGCAGGGGGACCTTGCGGGCACTGCAGGATTTCAGTCCTTCACGGCTTGGTGTGTTACCAATTGTTTTCTTGGTGACTATGGTCCCAGCTGCCTTGAGATCATTGACAAGATCCTCCCGTGTAGTTCTGGGCTGATTCCTCACCGTTCTCATGATCATTGCAACTCCACGAGGTGAGATCTTGCATGGAGCCCCAGGCCGAGGGAGATTGACAGTTATTTTGTGTTTCTTCCATTTGCGAATAATCACACCAGCTGTTGTCACCTTCTCACCAAGCTGCTTGGCGATGGTCTTGTAGCCCATTCCAGCCTTGTGTAGGTCTACAGTCTTGTCCCTGACATCTTTGGAGAGCTCTTTGGTCTTGGCCATGGTGGAGAGTTTGGAATATGATTGATTGATTGCTTCTGTGGACAGGTGTCTTTTATACAGGTAAAAAGCTGAGATTAGGAGCACTCCCTTTAAGAGTGTGCTCCTAATCTCAGCTCGTTACCTGTATAAAAGACACCTGGGAGCCAGAAATCTTTCTGATTGAGAGGGGGTCAAATACTTATTTCCCTCATTAAAATGCAAATCAATGTATAACATTTTTGACCTGCGTTTTTCTGGATTTTTTTATTGTTATTCTGTCTCTCACTGTTCAAATAAACCTACCATTAAAATTATAGACTGATCATTTCTCTGTCAGTGGGCAAACCTACAAAATCAGCAGGGGATCAAATACTTTTTTCCCTCACTGTATTTATTCCCTGTCAATGTCCATGATTAATACAGAGGACATCCAGCACTTGCAGATCCACCCCAAAACATTGTGGTCTCAGTCATTTTTTTTTTTTATTTTTTTTGCCCTCAGCAGTAGAAGTCAAGGGACTTGCCAGGACCCGCCCTGTACAATCAACAGCACCGCACGTAGTTGACAAGTGCGCCCTCCCCCATCAACGTCGTTTGACATATACCCATCTTTACAGGATTCGCCTCTGGCAGTTTTTAAAAAGGCAAACTCAAAGCCACATATTATACTGTATGTGCAGAAACCGTGCGGGGAGGGCAGCCTACAGAGATTGGTTCTTCTACAAGACAGAGAGAATCCCTGCTGTTTTTCTTCTTCATTTGGAGACAATTGATGTAAAAGGACATTTGAAAGCCCAAAAGTAGAAGACTCGGGCTGTTTCGCGGTCGACAATCTAAACTCGAATATACTTGGACTTTAACACAATAAATACAACTCAGCCACTTCGCGCGAGTGAAGAGTGGAACCTAAGCATCCGATACAGTGGTTAAGGGACTTTTACGCACTTACGCACGCAGGCAGTGGGCACCTGTGGATGGTGACTCTTTCAAGGACTTTTGCTCCAAAACCCCGATGATCAAAAGCAAAGCGTTCCATGCAATACAAATAGTAGTTGATTATAGTTGTTTTATGTTTGTAATCATTTTAATTTGAAACAATATGCTGGTTAGTTTTTCACTCCTGGCAACGCTTCTCTTAAGCGAGTCGGGTTGTTTGGGCTCGTTCGTACCGTGCGAACCGTGTGACCAGAAGGTTCTGTCGATGTGTCCGCCAGTACCGGTGGGATGCCAGCTGGTGAAGGAGCCTGGCTGTGGTTGCTGCCTGACTTGCGCACTCCCCGAGGGCCAGTCGTGCGGCGTGTACACGGGAACTTGCACGCAGGGGCTCCGGTGCCTGCCGAAGAGCGGGGAGGAGAAACCGCTGCACGCGCTCCTCCACGGGAGAGGAGTGTGCGCCAACGAGAATATGTACAAGCCGCTGCATCCAGGCAGGGGTAAATATGACTCTTCATTAATATGCATTGATTTATAATATATTCAAATGTTTATTTATTTAACATTTACAATATGTGGACTACATCGGCAGATTATCCAATTTGTTAGACATGGATACACACACACACACACACACATACACACACACACACACACACACACACACACACACACACACACACACACACACACACACACACACACACACACACACATATAAAAACACCACACCCTGTAATGTATTCCAAATCCACCATGTATTGCTAAGATTTTTTGATTGATAACACACAGCTGAGAGCTGAAAATCAGGGTTTTTCAAGGGCATCTTCTTGGCATGAGTGACGAAGTGCCTTGGGCAACATGAGTACATGAAACCTGAAGAAGATTCCAAACATTTTAGAGCCTCAGCTCTTTAGAGGGCCATTTGAGGGACAGTCACTGTGTCTGACACATTAAAACTTAGTCAGAGGGTTTCTCAAGTGTCACGTTCTTTCACAGCAGTTTTCCCCTAAGCCCTAGTTTTAATTTTCTCTCCTGAAATTTGTTGAAGAGAGAGGGATCAGCGCTTTTCCCTCCTCCCCCTCAACCTTCCCCCTCTCCATTTCCATGTCTCCCCCCCTTCCCCCCTTCCCTCAGCCTCCCCTGCAGTAAGTCATCTCTTCATCTATCTCTGGCTAGATTTCTTCCTCCCACTCTTTCTCACCTCTTTCTCCTGCTCTCCTTCACCAATATCCTTTCTCTATCTCTCTCTCCTCTAAATCCCCCCTCCTTCTTTCCTTCCTTTCCCCTCTCCCTCTTTCCATCTCTCCCTCCGTCATCATCTTTAAGCTGTGCAGTGATTCAGCAGAATGTTAGCCGAGCGCGTCTCTCTGACTGCCAGCCTGCTGCTGGATAAGATTTACCACCTCTTCTCATTTCCTGCAGCGTGTGAGAATTAAGAGAGGACAGAGGGCAAGAGGGACGAGAGAGAGGGAGAGAGAGAGAGATAAAGACAGAGTGAGACAGAGAGCGAGTGAGAGAAAGAGAGAGAGAGAAAGAGAGAGAGATAAAGAGAGAGAGAGAGGGAGGTAGAGAGATAAAGACTGAGAGAGAGAGGAAGTGGATAAGGAGTCTTTTCGTTACAACTAAATCTGTGGGATTTCGAGAGCATCAAATTCGCCCAGATCAGGAAATGCATCACAACCCTCTGAATCCCTCAGTCAGCACTGGCAAGATTAGAGAGGGACAGATTAGGAAGTGAGGACTTGATTGGGTTTTATACGCCGGCTGGGCTATGCTGCCTACGCTCCAGCTTCGGGGGAGAAATTGTGTCAGCGGAACCGGAGGACCGAGGAGGGAATTCTATTTTCTGAGAATAATCTAGGAAGGATGACGGGAGCGATGATGTCACAAGAGATATTCTCATCTCCAGTGACCTACCACTCTATCGCCTGCTTAGTGAGGTATAGTTTCGTTTATTAGGATCCCCATTAGCTACTGCACTTGCAGCAGCTACTCTTCCTGGGGTCCACATGAAACATATAAAATACATGACAAAGTACAGAACAGTAATAGACAAGAACAACAGAAGATATTACATTACATTCAAAATAAAATAAAATACAAAAAATAAGAGTTATATATAGGAAAGACACCAAGAGACAACAAACAATACTATTTACACACTATTCATATATACATATTGTTATATACAGTACAGTTAAATTAGATCTTTAGAGGGGTGTGTGTGTGTGTTTGTGTGTATGTGTGTGTGTGTGTGTGTGGGGGGGGGCTGTGAACTGTGTGACACTGGATAGATAGATAGCAGTTACACTATACACTGAGTACACCAAACATTAAGAACACCTTCCTAATATTTAGTGGAACCAGAAAAGCCTCAATTCGTCAGGGCATGGACTCTACAAGGTATTGAAAGCGTTCCACAGGGATGCTGGACCATATTGACTCCAATGCTTCCCACAGTCGTGTCAAGTTGTCTAGAAGTCCTTTGGGTGGTGGAACATTCTTGATACACACGGGAAACTGTTGAACGTGAAAAACCCTGCAGCATAGCAGTTTTTGACACAAACCGGTTCGCCTCGCACCTACTACCATACCCTGTTCAAAGGCACTTAAATGTTTTGTCTTGCCCATTCACCCTCTGAATGGCACACATACAAAATCCATGTCTCAATTGTCTCAAGGCTTAAAAATCCTTGTTTAACCTGTCTCCTCCCCTTCATCTACACTGATTGAAGTGGATTTAACAAGTGACATCCATAAGGGATCATAGCTTTCACCTGGATTCACCTGGTCAGTCTAGGTCATGGAAAGAACACCTGCTTGTGTTCTTAATGTTTTGTATACTCAGTGTATGGAAACACACAGATCTAGGATCAGCTTACCATCCCCAGATCCTAACATTAATATTGTGAGTTCAGTGAGATCAGTGATTTGAGGCAACTTCAGCTATTCCCTGACACTTTGGCTCAGTAATGCTCTGGTACTGTTTTTTCATGTTCCCAGATTGAGAGATACTGTATCTTGGCCAGTAACTGCAAGAAATCATCTTGTTGTAATGAAACATTCCTTATGCTTATAGATATGCCCCTGCTGCATATGGTCTCTCTTTAGTCAGTGTTAATATCTTTATGACAGGTGAAGTGGGTTGCTGAAATATTCATGTAGAGATGTGGACATTTGGATTTGGCAAGACAGAGATTCCTGCCAGTTTTATAGGAGCTGTTCGCATTTGTCATTCACATCTAAGGGGTAGAGAGAGAGAGGAGAAAGGGAGATAGGGGAGGAGAATGAGAGAGCGAGAGGAGGAGGAGTGGATGCAGGGAAGGAGGAAGGATAAAGAGAGAAAGAGAGAGAGAGAGAGAGAGGTGTAGAATGCTGTATGTTCATTGGATGACCCAGTTTAAAACTCATGACTTCAATTGCATGTGCCAAGTATTGACTTGAGATTGCATGTGCCAAGTATTGACTTGAGATTGCATGTGCCAAGTATTGACTTGAGATTGCATGTGCCAAGCATTGACTTGAGATTGCATGTGCCAAGCATTGACTTGAGATTGCATGTGCCAAGCATTGACTTGAGAGGACCGTTGCATTGACATGATAGACCACACCACTCTCTTGGCCCTAATCCAGCTATGTCACAGTTTACATTCTGCTCCCTTTTAGCCCCAGCTACAAGCCAGGGACACTGCAAAAGGAAATCTCCACCTCGCATGCAATAACTCCACTGTACAAATCTTGTATACATATTAACTGATTTATGGCATTTATGGCATTCATCACTCCATATATTATATGGAGTCAATTCAATGCCATAAATTAGTAAATATGTACACAAGATTTGTAGTTGTCCAGTTTAAAATGAGAGAGAGAGCGGTAGTGTTGGAGGAGAGGCAGGAGAGAGCGAGATAGAGGGTGGGGGCAGTGGTATAAAATACTTAAGTAAAAATACTTTAAAGTACTACTTAAGTAGTTTTTTGGGGTATCTGTACTTTACTATTTATATATTTTTGACAACTTATACTTTTACTTCGCTACGTTCCTAAAGAAAATCATGTACTTTTTACTCAATACATTTTCCCTGACACCCAAAAGTACTCTTCATCTAATATTTAGAATGCTTAGCAGGACTGGAAAATGGTTCAATTCACGCACTTCTCAAGAGAACATCCCTGTCATTCCTCCTGCCTCTGACCTGGCGGACTCACTAAACACACATGCTTCGTTTGCGAATGATGTCTGCGTGTTGGAGTGTGCTCCTGGCTATCCGTAAATTATAAAAACAAGAAAATGGTGTCGTCTGGTTTGCTTAATATAAGGAATTTTAAACGATTTATACTCTTACTTTTGATACATAAGTATATTTTAGCAATTACATTTACTTTTAATACTTAAGCATATTTAAAACCAAATCATTTTAGACTTTTACTCAAGTAGTATTTTACTGGGTGACTTTCACTTTTACTTGAGTACTCAAGTATGACAATTGGGTACTTTTTCCACCACTGGGTGGGGGAAAGAGAGAAAAGGATTAGAAGGAGAAATGCTTGTAAATGGACCGTGGCGAACAACTCCCTCAACCACTGGCTGACCATGTGAGAAGTAGGCCAATATTGTATGAGTCAGCTGGAGAGCTGTGAAATGACTCTGGGCTGGATTTCTTGATTGGGAAAACCGCAAGGTGTCCCTCTAGTGTTAGGAAAGGCTCTGAGTCTAAACCTGCTTCCTCTATTCATCTCTTTTCCTTCATCTGCACCGATGTGAAAGACCTTGACAGTGTCCCACTCTTCCTACATCCTCCTCCTCCTCCTCCTCTTCCTCATCTGTCTCTCTCACTCTCTGACTGTGAGTCTCAGGTGGAGCTCATGCATCATCCTCCTTCTCTTCCTCTTCCTCGCCACCACCGCAACCACCATCATCATCCTCTCTGTCTCTCTGTCTCCCCAGACGGTTATTCTCCAGAGGAAGCTATGTTAGCAGAGGTTCCAGAGTCCCTGCTGCCCCAGGCCAAGGTGCCTCTGTACGGGGGCAGAGACCACATCAGCAGCCGCAAGGCTCAGGCCATGAGACAGGCTAAAGACCGCAAGAGACAGCAGGCCAAGCTCCACTTTGTCAGAGGCCTCGACCACTCAACACATGCCCTGGACAAACTGCAGCCTGAGTTTGTAAGTTCAACATATATTCAGTGTATACGCAGACATACATGCAGACACACACACACGCAGGCAAACACACACGCAGACATACGCGCACACACACACGCCATACTTGCCCTAAACTATGACCCTGTATGTGTGTGTAGGGATCCTGCAGGAGAAAGCTGGACGGGATCATTCAGAGGATGAAAAACACATCTAGAGTCCTGGCTCTCTCCTTATACCTCCCCAACTGTGACAAGAAGGGATTCTTCAAGCACAAGCAGGTACCCATGGACTATTCTATCCTACACTATTCTATCGTATTCTATTCTATCGTATTCTATTCATTCTATCCTATTCTATCCTATTCTATCCTATTCTATCCTATTCCATTCTATCCTATCCTATCCTATTCTATTCTATCATATTCTATACATTCTATCCTATTCTATCCTATTCCATTCTATCTTATACTATTATATCCAATACTATTCTATCCTATTCCATTCTATTCTATCCTATTCTATTCTATTCTATCCTATCCTATCCTATCCTATCCTATCCTATTTAATTTCATTGTATTCCTATCCTATTCTATTGTATTCTATCCTATCCTATCCTATCCTATCCTATCCTATCCTATCCTATCCTATCCGATCCTATCCTATCCTATTCTATCCTATTCTATCCTATTATATGCTATTAAGTTCTATTTGATTCTATCCTATTCTATTTAATTTCATTGTATTCCATCTTATTCCCTTCCTCTCCTCCTGCAGTGTAAGCCATCACGTGGGCGGAAGCGGGGGATCTGTTGGTGTGTGGACCGCTTCGGAGTGCAGCTCCCCGGAACTGACTACAGTGGAGGGGACATCCAGTGCAAAGACCCGGAGAGCAACAGCAACAAAAACCAATGAGAGATGGCCAATGTGGTCACCTGTCATGAGCCAAGGCCCGCCTCCCTTCACCCCTCCTCCTGCCAATCACGTGTACATGCAAAATATGCAAAAGCCAATCAAATCAGGAAAGCAGGGCACAGATACAGTACATACACGCAGTTTTAAAACTATACATCCACCTATACTGAGATTACCTATAACCTCCCTTTAAAGCACATATAACAATGTTCTCTGACTTAAATTGTGTTGATAATAGATTGATACAACAGAAGCCACAGTCAGAGGTCCAAATTATATTAGATTCTGTTTAAACAAAGTTTTAAGGCTAAAGAGTAAAGCTTTTTTTTTCTTCACCTATCTTATTATTGTGATGTTGACAGGAACTCTTTACTGAGGAGCACAGTGATCTGGGGTCGTATTTAAACGTAACTCTGTTCTCTTCATCCAAATGTTTGTCCCATCAGAGCACTTCCCTACAAGAGAACCTCAGTGACTTAAAGTACTTCACTGTCTGAGTTTGGGCCTATGTCCTTATATATCCTTCTGAGTGCAATGAGATGAGAATAGCTTTTTTTTCAGTCCGGCCCTTCTTCCACTTTGTCTCACAGATTGTTCTGAGTTGAGGGTCTTAAGAACTATTAACTGCTCATATAAAATGTACAATAGGTTGTTACAGAGTAGTTACAGTAGCTATCTTAATAAGCACATCAACTGCTACTTCTGATGGGTTTTATCTCAGTATATTTTCATAGGGGTGACTGTATAAAATTATTGTGTGTGTGTGTGTGTGTGTGTGAGAGTGCCTCCTTAACTTTCTCCTTTAGTAGTCTGTATTGTGTCTCTTAAGCCTTACCTTCAGTGAAGTATATTTTTTTTAAAGGTCATCTCAAAAACACATCATAACAGTAATTTGCTTGTTTTGTCATTTATAAACGACAGCCAAGAAAGTAGAAAGTACAGGTGCTTTGAAAAGTCCAACACAGACTCAAATTGCATGCAAATCTTGCACGTAGTTTCTATTGACGTCTCGTAGCCTCCTGTCTGACCACAACACAGTCTTCTGCCTAGGACTCTACTATATGACCCCTGGAAAGGTGTGGCTCTTTGGGTTTCTATGTAAATCTCAGTGCCTTCTCTCTCTCATGACTTTGAATCCAGATTTACATACAGATTAACAGGCCTTGTCGTTGAGCGAGGACATTTTAGCAGAATGTGGATTTGGAGATTGGTTGCTAGAGACCCATGAGTTGACGAGTGTGAAGATATAAGTCTACACGATATAAGACCATGATGATACTTTTTGATCCTACGTCCCGTTTGTGAACATGATCTTAAATCAGACGTCTACTGATTTTATTGAAGCTCAAAACATTTCGTTGACATTCCTTGACATAGACAGCCCTGTTTTCAGGGTATGGTAGCATGACGATAGCTTTGACAGGGGCTCTGTGTACAGTCTATGCCTCCCACTAGAATGCATAGGAGACTTGGAAAGGTTTCTCAACTCAGTCTTAAGCTTGCTTGTATGAAAGACCATGACATCTCAAACATTCCATACTCGTGATAAAAAAGCATATAGGAAACAAATGGGTAACAGTTTACTCAAAGCCAACCGGTATAATGCTTCTATGCTGCAATTTTTTAACAAGTTGATAACAGCCGTTTAGTCAGTGTCCATCAGAGACGATGGTAAGACGTTATAAGCGGGTCATACATGCTTATGACAAGTCTTACGATGTATTATACCTGTTGGCATTAAGTGAAGTGTTACTAACAAATCTATGTGAATATCACAAATATGTCATATTTATTCACTGTGTAATTGATGTACTTTAACCTTGTCTTTTTTGTAATGACAAAGCATTTATTTTAATAAAGTGATGTATTCATGTATGGGAAGGTTTTTTATGCATTTTGTTTGCTCTATACTGTGGAAGTAGGGTTGCAAAAATCCCGGTAACTTTCCCCAAATTCCCAGATTTTCCAGGAATCCCAGTTGGAAGATTCCCAGATTCAGGAGGGAATAAGCAGGAAATCCGGAATCCTCCAATGAGGATTTCTGGAAAACCTGGGAATTTGGGGAAAGTTACCAGATTTCTACAAATTTGTAATCCTTAATGCATGTTTCCTATACACCTGCTGCTGGCTTCAAATTATTGTCTACCAGAAGATCCAATTACCATAGCTACCATACCACATAAAGAAACGTAGAAGAATTTCCTTACATACAAAGCACTGTCTGCCAACCATCATAAAACACCTGAACATATGCAATCATGTGGGTTTTGCCTTGTGAGCTCATAACGAAATGGGTTGTACTGTACCATGAAATACGATGGCTTATCTACACCTACAGTGCCTTGCAAATTTATTCATCCCCCTTGGCGTTTTGTTGCATTACAACCTGTAATTTAAATGGATTTTTATTTGGATTTCATGTAATGGACATACACAAAATAGTCCAAATTGGTGAAGTTAAATAAAAAAAAATACTTGTTTAAAAAATTCAAAAAAATTAATAATGGAAAAGTGGTGTGTGCATATGTATTCACCCCCTTTGCTATGAAGCACCTAAATAAAATCTGGTGCAACCAATAACCTTCAGAAGTCACATAATTAGTTAAATAAAGTCCACCTGTGTCACATGATCTCAGTATATATACACCTGTTCTGAAAGGCCCCAGAATCTGCAACACCACTAAGCAAGGGGCACCACCAAGCAAGCGGCACCATGAAGACCAAGGAGCTCTCCAAACAGGTAAGGGATAAAGTTGTGGAGAAGTACAGATCAGGGTTGGGTTATAAAAAAATATCAGAAACTTTGATCATCCCACGGAGCACCATTCAATCCATTATAAAAAATGGAAAGAATATGGCACTACAACAAACCTGCCAAGAGAGGGCCTCCCACCAAAACTCATGGACCAGGCAAGGAGGGCATTAATCAGAGGCAACAAAGAGACCAAAGATTACCCTGAAGGAGCTACAAAGCTCCACAGCGGAGATTGGAGTATCTGTCCATAGGATCACTTTAAGCCGTACACTCAACAAGAGCTGGCCTTTACGGAAGAGTGGCCAGAAAAAAACCATTGCTTAAAGAAAAAAATAAGCAAACACATGGAAGAAGGTACTCTGGTCAGATGAGACTAAATTTGAGCTTTTTGGCCATCAAGGAAAACGCTATGTCTGGCGCCAACCCAACACACCTCATCACCCCAAGAACATCATCCCCACAGTAAAACATGGTAGTGGCAGCATCATGCTGTGGGGATGTTATTCATCGGCAGGGACTGGGAAACTGGTCAGAATTGAAGGAATGATGGATGGTGCTAAATACAGGGAAATCCTTGAGGGAAACCTGTTTCATTCTTCCAGAGATTTGAGACTGGGACGGAGGTTCACCTGCCAGCAGGACAATGACCCTAAGCATACTGCTAAAGCAACACTCAAGTGGTTTAAAGGGAAACATTTAAATGTCTTGGAATGGCCTAGTCAAAGCCCAGACCTCAATCCAATTGAGAATCTGTGGTATAACTTAAAGATTGCTGTACACCAGCGGAACCCATCCAACTTGATGGAGCTGGAGCAGTTTTGCCTTGAAGAATGGGCAAAAATCCCAGTGGCTAGATGTGCCAAGCTTATAGAGACATACCCCAAGAGACTTGCAGCTGTAATTGCTGCAAAAGGTGGCTCTACAAAGTATTGACTTTGGGGGGGGGGGGGGGGGGGGGGGGGGGGTGAATAGTTATGCACGCTCAAGTTTTCTGTTTTTTTGTCTTATTTCTTGTTTGTTTCACAATAAAACATATGTTGCATCTTCAAAGTGGTAGGCATATTGTGTAAATCAAATGATACAAACCCCGCAAAAAATCCATTTTAATTCCAGGTTGTAAGGCAACAAAATAGAAAAAATGCCAAGGGGGGTGAATACTTTCGCAAGCCACTGTAGACCTCCAATAAGAAAATGAGACACAAGATACCAGGGCATATGCCCAAATGAATACACAATCAACTTACAGGAAGTTACCATCCATTTAATCATGTACTTCATCTTATAACAAGACGTTCTTTATCACAAAAACAATCTACATTTCTATTTGTGTTCCTATTAAAGAGGAAATCTAAAACGTATATTTGTGTTCGTAACAAGACGTTGTCTATGTGGTTTTCCTACAGTGTATAGAAGACGTATGTGTATTCCAAAGGCTATAGAAGGTAGGTATCACAGTCATAGTAGCCTACCAACCTGAAGGCATAGAACACTGTAATACAAACAAAGGGTAGGTTGAGTTGAGTACACAACCACCAAACATTTGACATGTTCACTTTCCAGCACCAGAAGGTAAGACACTTGAGCTGCGTTTACACAGGTAGCCCAATTCTGATCTTTTGCCCAATTATGGGCAAAAGATCTGATTGGTCGAAAGACGAATTAGTGGCAAAAGATCAGAATTGGGCTACCAGTGTAAACACAGCCATACAAACACTTTAAGGGTTAAGTAAGACACTAATCCCTTAAAGTGTCAATTCGCCGTTTTGTTTTTTGCTTAGCATATTCTCTTTCATATAAGTCAAATCAGTTTATCCACGACAACATTTCTCTAGATTCCCTACTACAGATACATTGAATACAAGAGGTTCATAGAGGCCGAATACTAATTACCAAATGTGCATATACTTGGAATTTCCATGCAAATCGCCCATTGACATCAATGCTTGATTTTTACACAAAAGTCTGAGATGGACACAGATTTCTAGTTAGAATTCAGCCCATAGTAAACATTCTTCTCATTAGACTTTGTTCACCACAGAAAAGCTATGGGGGGAAGGAGAGAGAGAGAGAGGGAGAGAAAGAGAGAGAGATCAATGAAAATACCAGTCAAACACTGACTTCCTTTGAAATTGCAAAGAAGAATGGGTTGAATCTTTGTCGCCTGTTACATCCTATGCCCTTACAGTGGAGTTTGTTCTCAAGCCAAGACACATTATGGTGGTTACATTGAACAATATCGCTGAGAATTGATTGTAATACCAAACAAAACTATACACAGAAACAGAAACAGACACACAGACATTTTGATAGCTTACTTAAGTGTTTAGAATACTGCTTCCTGTTGTCTTTTAAGACTCAGGCCGATCAAAGGGAGAATCAGGGCCGTACTATTTCTGGGTTGAGGCGGGAGTGTCCATCTCTGGTCCTCTTACATACTGGCTGCAGTTTGGGTCTCCCCTCACGGTGGGGGCTGATGGGATGGGCCGACCGGTGTGTGGGTTGACGCACCAGCACTCCCCCCTCTGGCCGTGCAGAGACATCTTACACTGAAACGCAGAAAGAACATGTTAGTGTGTGTGTATGTATGTGTGTGTGTGTGTGTGCGTGTGTGTGTGCATGTGTGTGTGTGTGTGGGCACCTATGTGGATGCTCCTGGGCCATGGAGTAAGAGTGAGTAGTTACCTGTTTGAGGTTATACTGCCCCCTCTTGTCACAGTTGGAGATGTGCAGGGTGTAGTCACCTGTTTGAGGTTATACTGCCCCCTCTTGTCACAGTTGGGGTTGTGCAGGGTTTAGTCACCTGTTTGAGGTTATACTGCCCCCTCTTGTCACAGTTGGGGATGTGCAGGGCGTACAGGTCTTCCAGTGGGCCTCGGTTATCTCTGAAGGGCATCTTAGATATCCTCTCCAGCACCTGGTCCAGCTCCTGCTGACACTGAGTCTACAGTAAACAACAGGCAACACCATTCACATGATTAATAGTCTGGGAAACCTCAGACCTTGGAGCAACAGGCAACACCATTCACATGATTAATAGTCTAGGAAACCTCAGAACTTGGAGCAACAGGCAACACCATTCACATGATTAATAGGCTCCGAAATCTCAGACCTTGGAGCAACAGGCAACACCATTCACATGATTAATAGTCTAGGAAACCTCAGACCTTGGAGCAACAGGCAACACCATTCACATGATTAATAGGCTCCGAAATCTCAGACCTTGGAGCAACAGGCAACACCGTTCACATGATTAATAGTCTAGGAAACCTCAGACCTTGGAGCAACAGCAACACCATTCACATGATTAATAGTCTGACTATTACACTGGGGCCGAGGTCCCTGCCATCCAGGACCTTATACCAGGCGGCGTCAGAGGAAGGCCCTAAAAATTGTCAGACTCCAGCCACCCAAGTCATAGACTGTTCTCTCTGCTACCACATGGCAAGTAGTACCGATGCACCAAGTCTGGAATCAACAGGACCCTGAACAGCTTCTACCCCAAGTCATAAGACTGCTAAATAATTAGTTCAACAGTTAACCAAATAGCTACCCAGACTACCTGTATTGACCTTTTTTGCACAAACTTTTTTGACTCATCACATACACTGCTGCTACTGTTTACTATCTGTTACCTTATTTCTAGCTATTTGTACATATCTACCTCAAGTCCGGGGAGGGTGCTCTTCAGACAGATAACTCTCAGAATAATTCACAAGTTTGGTTTGACTTGGCTTAAAATGCAGACGGCAATTGTGCTTGTGAAAAAGAACGTTGTAAACTTGTAACGCTAACGTTAGCTGTCATGGCACAAGCAAACAACTTATTTGCCAAATACACTCATTGAAAATATCTAGCTAAGATACCAATTTTGAGTCCGGTGGTAGGCTAATGTTTGCGGCAGGACATGTACGGAAAGGCTCTGGACTGATTTCCTGCAAGAGTCCCATTTCCGCCTCCTGTCCAACCAACGCTGGTATTGTCAGCAGACGTGTGCGCTGATCAGTCAGATTGAAAATCGCCCAGAACTTCTGTCATAGACTCCCATGTAAAATCTATTTTTTTCAAATTTCAGAGCCTTCAATACAATCTCAATGGGTGTCTGTGGGCTTGCACTTACGCGCTTTCGTCACATGAACGTAACTAAGAAAAGAGAGGGTAGCAGCGTCAATCAATTCACTACTACTATCAACATGGCTAGGCTTCAGTGCAACTCGGTTGTGTCTTTGAAAGAATTTCCTTTTTGTCGGCGAACAAATGAAGATAAATTGGCAACGAAACAAATTTAATAATTCAACAGGTTTCTACTAAAGGCGGAAAGTCCTACACCCGAGGATTTTCCAAAAATTGGTACGAACGAAAAAAGACATTGCCACTCACTCAACTGGATGACGAGGGATACAGGCTAGCTGTCCGCCGCCACAACGATGAGGTTAGTGTTGATAATCACAAGTTTACTGGATGTGGATATGGTGTAATAAAGGCAGTTTATTCAGAGGTAAATATATCTGGAATCGCGTTCACGGACCCGTTCGTCAAACTCTTAAAAATGAACTTGGGCTGGGAATTGCCAGGAACCTCACGATAAGATATATGCATCAGCATTGCGAGTCTCATGATTCTATACGTATTGCGATTCGATACTGTGATTTTATTGCGCACCATATGTCTGTTGCAGAGGGATCAGAAAGCCATGAGAACGAGTTTTGATCAGTCATGGAAATAAAAGTGCTGAAAACAAATTGGCTCCCAATGTGAAAAGATTGAGAACAAGCTATGAAGGAACAATAATGGTGTTTTGGTGCAGGTACAGCCAACTAGCGCTAAAATATTGCGATATTGTCAATACAGTATATCGTAAAGTATCACTATGTAACTCGATTTCTTTCACCCCAATCCCTCAAATTAACGGTAAATAACTGAATTGTTTGCCCCACATTTAGCTAAGATGATTAGCTAGCCAGCTAAAATGTTTTAGTTAGTTAGCAGTCGCATCTACAATAGTTTACTGTCAATAACATGTCTCCAAAAATGACGTGGTGTCTCCAATTGTGTTGACATTTTACAATTGCAATGCGCATCCATGAGTATCCACTTTCTGTAGCTCAGCTGGTAGAGCATGGTGCTTGTAACGCCAAGGTAGTGGGTTCGATCCCCGGGACCACCCATACACAAAAATGTATGCACGCATGACTGTAAGTCGCTTTGGATAAAAGCGTCTGCTAAATGGCATATTATTATTATTATTATTATTATTATCTGAAGAGAGCCCCGAAACATTGTGTGCAGACATTTTATGCAATAAATGAAGTAGGTTCAATCTAGTAGTTCTGATCTTCTGATTGGTCCTGATGAGTTGGGCGAGGTCACCTCCAGGCTACTGTCACTGTTGCATTGGCTCTGAGTCGGGTTCTCTGTCTTCAAATGTTCAGCCTAAGAGAGGGGATTTTTGTGTGTGTGTGTGTGTTTAACAGTGATGATGTGTGTGTGTGTGTGTTTAACAGTGATGATGTGTGTGTGTGTGTGTTTGTGTGTGTGTGTGTCCTCAGAGCAAGAACTCGTGAGTTGGAAGAACTGAGAGGCCTATGGCGTGGGTGTTGTCCTTGGCCACCTGCTGACAAGGCTGACAAGATAGGACCCTTTTGTCCATTGTTATTGGATAGGAACAGAACTTATAACCAGCTCCTGACCTAAATAGATCTTAGCACAACATTTTACTCAACATATCATATTCCATATTCACTATAACAAATATATTTACTACGACATTAGCAAGAACCGCCACATCCTCAGCCGGCTAATCCAGTGTGTGAAGTTTTGCGGAGTGTTTGAGTTAGCTTTGCGAGGCAAAGATGAAACTGAGGGCTCCACCAACCCTGGTAAGCCAACACTTTTGAGATCAGTCAATAAATGCTTCTGGTATTGACTTATATGCTGCCCCTGTCTTCATGTTGTTGCTGGACATATCTTTTTTTAAATGTGTGTAGGTCACCTAAATCATCAGAAAACGCTGGAACATTGGATACATTGTGGGAGGCAAACCGTCTGCCGAGGGAGACTACATGATTAATGACCCAGCAATGCCTTCAGACCACTGGTTGATAAAATGAAGATAACATGCTCCAAAATGATCTACAAAGGTTGGGAGCTGGATTCTCTGAGGAATAATAATCCATAGGAAATTAAATGAACAGCACTACCAAAAGATAAAATACAATTATTAATTCACATGAAAATGAATAATGTTTCTGAGAATAACTCAGAAAGGGTATAACTGAAAATAAATTATATTTTCATTACTAATACCATTTATGGATTATTGCCAAAGCACCTGATTGTCACCAAGACTAGCTAATATCCAGGGCAAATGGTTCTATTTTAAACTTGGCATCCATGAAATGCCAAAATCTTTATCCTCAAGGAAAATCACTAAATGTGGGAAAATAAGTACTGGTAGCAGTTTATAATAACACCTTGTAATAAAAGCATTTATAATAGATTAGTAAATCGTTTATTCAGGTACTGCTGGAATGTCTACCAATGGCATGTCCATCTTTTTGTGAGAAATTACACTGTCACTCAAAACATTTATAAAGCATTTATAAAGTATAAATAGCCCTTACTTTAAATGAGGCCACACAAAAATACTTAACTAATGATTAGTAGATGGTTTATAAGGACCGATATTAAACGTCTTACGAACGATCTTATTAATTATTATGACATAGTTATTCATAAATGTGTGAATACCTGTCTTACTAACATTTACAAATGTGGGAGTAATGATGAATAAATGATTTACTAATCCATTATAAATGCTTTATTACAAGGTGTTATTATAAAGTGCTACCAAAGTATTTTCCTAGGTCAGTCAACAACGGGACACCAGGCTCGACTTCAAGGAAACAATACCGAATTTTCAACAGTAGGGTCTTGAACTGTCATGTGAAACATTTACATCTTCCCATGGTTCAATAAGCCTCAAATGAGGGCAAACGTTGTCAAACAGAGGTGCTATCTTGTCCAATAGAAATGCTTATCTACGTTTTCCGCTTGAAAACGCTGGCCTTGGCCATAATTGTCCAAATTGGCAGTAATACATTGTTAGTTGCTTGACACCATCAGGTATGCTCCAGAAGATGACAGCAGTGCACTAGGTTATGTTAAGACTGACTCTCACCTTCCTAAAGGGACATGGCCACTGCCAATCATGATCCCAGGTTCACTAACTGTTTACTAAGAGAGGTGACCCACCAATGGTCACGGTTTACTAAGGCTGCATCCCAAATGGCACCCTATTCCCTATATAATGCACTACTTTTAATCAGGGCCCATATAAAGGGAATAGGGGTGTGGCCTAACTGTATACTACTAGGTGTTTACTAACCTGCTTGGCGCGGGGTGTTTTGGGATCCTCCGCCTTGTTACTCTTCATCTTGGTCTTCATCTCCTGTCGGTGCTGACGCATGGCACTCTCCTTGGGCCCCAGCCACGGGCTGTCCTTAGTGGCCTTCCTCACCGGGGGGATCTCCGTCAGGCCCGTGTCCAGGAGGTCGACCACCTCCCCTGAGGGACAAACACGCACGCACACACAGACGCATGCACAGATTCACACACATGCACATAAACACACACACACACATACACAAACACAGTCAAAACAGCTCTATGGAAACCAGATGCACTAAAGTAATTGATCGCTCATTACGACACTGTCATAACATTGTCGTTATATTGTCATTACATCACAGAAACGCTCAACCCATTTTAATGATTAAGTATACTGCACATTCCTCCATGAAATGAGAAATGGTAGGGCCAGCAGCTTGGCTTTCGTACAGTTGGCAATGGCATACATGGTGAATTCTTCAGCGGAAATAGATAGATACATCTTTAAAGGTGTAATATTTTAGACCTTTCCTTTAGATTTTGGACCTTTCCTTAAAAAAAAATATATATATATATATATACTTTCAAACTTCCATAAACGCCGAAATATTGTTACTTATAATTTTTTTGGATTGTTTTTTCCATTTTAACTTCCAAGAATGATAACCAATAGTGAACACATGCTTCTGTCTGTGTACACTGCAGATTTAGTTAACTATGGGGCACCTTCACTCGTTATGACGAGTGTCCTCCTCACCTCCAAAGTCACGGCATGTCATGAAAGGGCTCTAGCTCACTTTCCTGTTCGACTGCTTAGAACGAAAGTTCGAACAGCAACAACCCAGAACTGACACACCACACTATCTGGGGAAGGGAGGGAGAAGTCCTCAGCAGTTTGACCAGATAACGCGTGGTTAAACATCAACCTCTGAAAGCCACTTTCCACACAGATATGAGAACAAACAATGCAGGGGACCTGGCTCTGCGAGTCTACTAGCTGTCCATGCTATTCTTGACAACAGACAGAGTGGAGGCTGAGGGCCCACTACAGCTCTCCCAGGGCTCTGGGACCATCAAAATGGTCAGAATAACAGAAACAGCAGGGGCGGAGGAAACAGTTGGCTGGACTTTGCTTTGAGGAAATCTTAGATTAATAACATTTCAGAGTAATGTATTGTTTACACTCTCTCTGTCCTGTCAGGCTATCCAGTGACATACCACTATTAACGACAGAGGAGGGATAGGTTATAAGATAGAAATAAGATATAACAGGGTTGGCCGGCCCTTAAGTGAAGTGTATTCTACACTAAGGAAGGAGCAAGAGGGGTCCCTCTGACGTTTACAATCCAGTAGACATAGAATATGATGACAAAAGACTGAACGGAGAAGGAGAGGGGGAAAGGCAACTATCAGATCTAAACATCTAGCTTCAGCTCTCCTCATGAAACTATCAGATCTAGACATATAACTTCAGCTCTCCTCATGAAACTATCAGATCTAAACATCTAACTTCAGCTCTCCTCATGAAACTATCAGATCTAAACATCTAACTTCAGCTCTCCTCATGAAACTCAGATCTAAACATCTAACTTCAGCTCTCCTCATGAAACTATCAGATCTAAACATCTAACTTCAGCTCTCCTCATGAAAAGGTATTGTGCTCTCAGTTTCCTTTGAAGACAGAGTTGCAGAACAGAGGGCAGAAGTCAACTGGAATCAGGTGTGAGACACACACACACACACTTATACACACTTACATACTCAAACACACACACACAGAGACAGACAGGCACACACACTGTTTTGTTTTCATCTATTAGATAATCCCCACTGTCTCCAACTGTAATATACTGATTCCAGCTTCATGGAAGAAACCTGAGAAGGTCTGAGTCTATTAAAACACACAGACACACACACACACACACAGAGAGAGACACACACACACAGACACACACGGACAGGGTCAGGACCCCACTCTAAGAGGGCCCCGTTCCTCCAGTACACTCTGTTCCACCGATCCACAGAGGTGGACCTGGGCTTTGCAACGTCAACAGAGCTGCAGCCCCATTGTTGTTTTTTTTGTCCGGTCCACTGCTTGAATTAATACAGCAGACAAAAGGGACGAGTGGCTTCTTTGCTTTTTTAATAGCTGATGCTTGTCAAATTCCCAGAACAGCACAAAGGAGAGAAGGTTCATGTCTGACAGTCTAGACTCCAGTCAACTGATCAGATGGCCCATGGATGGAGAATGGGAGACTGGATAGGTCCAACCAACACACATTTATGGTTAAATTCATCCCTTTAACTGTCCCTTTAATCTCAATGTGACTTCTTGTGTAATAAATGAATATTACCTCAATCTAGGGCCAGTATAGTGACAACGATACTGTATTTTACTGTGTTTATGTGTATACATAATGTATCTCCTTCACAATTGATTGTACAGTAAAGCACTTTGGGGAGCTGTAGTTAAAAAGAGCCAGCTTCATAACTGCTTCCCATTATCCTTTACAAGGCCTGCTAGGACTCTCCTCCTAGAATCACACAGTCAGCACAGAGCAAGTGTGTTTACCTCACAGCCAGGCTATCTGGCCTGAGAGGCTCCTCCACAGTGTGGAGCTAGCTGGAGCTGGGCAGGTCCTGACAAGTAGACACTGACTGCACCCAGCCAGGCATCTATCCACCACTGAACTGACTGACTGCAGGCTAAACCTGGCACTCTGGATATGTCCCAAACGACACTGTATCCCCTACATATCCCTATATGACTCTGGCCAAAAGTAGTGCACTATATAGGGAAAAGGGAATATTTTGCCATTTGGTACACACCTGGCTCTGGAGGACAGAGAGACAGGGAGACGGAGGCAAGCCGGAGCCCATCAAACCTGCAGAGCAGCACGGACAATTACAGCACACACATACAGAGAATAGAGAGAGAGAGGAGAGATGGTGCCCATCTTTCCCATTCATTTGGGATTGAGGCATGTAGAGGTGGCCTTGACATTAGACCACATTTGAGGTCTGAAAAGACCCGATTAACTTTGATTTTGGAGTCATCTGAGAAGAGTGAAGATGTTCCATAGCTCCTTTATTAACAGAGATGATAGGACACCAGACTAGGGTTGCAAAATTCCTTTAACGTTCAATACTTTCTCTGGTTTTCCTGAAATCCCGGTTGGAGGACCCCAGAATCAGGGGGGAATAAGCAGGAAATCCGGAATCCTCCAACCAGGATTTCTGGAAAACCAGGGAATTTATTGAAAGTTAAAGGAATTTTGCAACCCTACACCAGACATGTGATCCAAGTCATGGCACCAACGTAACAAGTCAACTGGCCTTGATACACAGACCACCACCATACAAGGATCAATTCCTAAGACAGTAGCTCTGCCTGCAGCCATCGGGCTAGCCATGAACAACAGATCTTGGGTGATTGCAGCAGCCAAATGCATAGGCCTCAGTCTGTACACACATACGCAACACTCAAATCCCCTTCAACTCCATTATCTTCCGTGAAGAAACATCAAACCATCTGGCGAAGCCAGCCCTATCCCCTGCAAAGCCCTTTCACAGGTCCCCTTCCACCCCACTCAGCTCAGTAACATTTCAGACATAGTTTGTATTTTCTCCAAGCACCGAAGCCCAGGGAGAGAGAGGGAGGGGGGGAGGGAGGGAAGAGGGAGCCAGCAAGAGAGAGAGAGAGAAAGAAAGAAAGAAAGAAAGAAAGAAAGAAAGAAAGAAAGAAAGAAAGAAAGAAAGAAAGAAAGAAAGAAAGAAAGAAAGAAAGAAAGAAAGAAAGAGAGAGAAAAGCAGAGAGAGAGAGAAAAGCAGAGTGAGAGAGAAAGAGAAAGGGAGAAGTTTATTCTGGAAAGCGTCTGAGGCACGCTGAGATTCTTAGCATGGCTTTGGGTGAAGTTGCAGCCCCAGGGGTGGAAGGCAGCGATGCCTGTGTTTTAGAGAAGCAGTGGGGATTATCTGGGGCTATTTCGGGCCCGCGGGCACCGTCTAGAGGGCTGGGCACCCTGGCAGTGGACCCAGGCAGGTACAGATGAATGCCCCTCGTTAGGGAGCCGTGTTATTTCACCGCCCAGATGCAGCCAGATGGTCAGGATCTGTTTTCCTTGTAAAGCTTTGAGAGTTTTTTTGGGAGTCTTTTGTTGGGTTGGGGGTTGGGTAACCCTCTCTTTGTTGGATAAGTGGCAGCCCAACGATGTGACCCTGCTGGCAGGATGAGTGATGAACCTCGGTCGTGTCTCGAATGGCACCCTATTCCCTTAATTTTAGCAGGGGCTCTTTTGCAAGGGAGTGCACTACTTTTGACCAGGGACCATTATAGTGTACCATTTGGGAAGCAACCCTTCTCTTAAATCTTTTTTTATTAGTATGTTTTTGCATTAGTATGATGTATTATTGACTATGACGTGTCTTTACATACTAATATTATATAATATGATATACACCCCTTCTGCCTTTTGTGGAATCAATCTCACACCAACATCTCTATTTACATAATTCTCTGACGTGTCACAGTAAATGGACTGTAGTTGTACCACTTGATATTGTCAATGAGGGGGTTACTGTCTAGCTGTAGGCTGGTATTAAGGGCTGATAAAGATGCCCATCCACCACAGGGTTCAGATAATGAGGAGACACGGGTGCACCACAGACATTTTGGAAGGTTTTCTTATCAAGTCTTCCATTGATGAAAGGCTACATGCTAGTCATCCATCAAGGCCTGTATAGCATGAGATGAGTAGCATGAAGGAATGCATATAGGGTGCTCTACTTTTCCCAGTGCAATTACAATCTTGGAGAATGCAGACCAATTTTTCCTTGGTTATAACGTGTGTTCACATAATAATAGTAAGAAGTAAGCTTTATGCGATAACTCATTACATTTTGTACGTATTATGAGTGTTCCGCCGGACGAGAAAGACAGGTAAGTTAAGTGATTATTATTTTGATACATGAGCGGATGTGACTGCTAACCAATGCATTTTAGTTTGACTTATAAACTGATCCTATAAACTCCCTACAAAGCCTTTATTAAACAAGCCCTTTGTAAACTATACCTTCATTAGTGTTACTGCTATTAATTATCCTAAGGTTTACTCTGTTTCAACAAACAGGATATGTGATGTAGCTAGGCTACCATGGTCTGAGTTGTCTCATCTGGTTGTTATAGATAGTGGTTTAGCACGTCGGCCTATTTAGACAATGACAATGTGTAGGAAACGTGTGTAACCAGGGCTGCTTTTTGCATAATCTGTGTATATCACTCTGTATACTGGGATGTTTAAAAGGGGGTATACCTGCAAGAAAGTGGTTAATAAGGGACTGTTTGAAAGGGGGTCATGTAAACATTGCCTCCTTTTTCTTTATTTTTTAAGGTAATATACCGGGAATTCTGTCTGAAGTACATAATAGTACTGTGTAATCTAGGTGTACATAATAGTCCCATGTAATCCAGGTGTACATAATAGTACTGTGTAACCCAGGTGTACATAATAGTACTGTGTAACCCAGGTGTACATAACAATACTGTGTAACCCATGTGTACATAATAGTACCATGTAATTCAGGTGTACATAATAGTACTGTGTAACCCAGGTGTACATAATAGTAATGTGTAACCCAGGTGTACATAACAATACTGTGTAACCCAGATGTACATAATAGTACTGTGTAACCCATGTGTACATAATAGTACTGTGTAACCCATGTGTACATAATAGTACTGTGTAACCCCGGTGTACATATTAGTACTGTGTAACCCCATGTGTATATAATAGTACTGTGTAACCCATGTGTACATAATAGTACTGTGTAACCCAGGTGTACATAACAGTACTTTGTAACCCAGGTGTACATAACAGTACTGTGTAACCCAGGTGTACATAATAGTACTGTGTAACCCATGTGTACATAATAGTACTGTGTAACTCAGGTTTACATAATAGTACTGTGTAACCCAGGTGTACATAATAGTACCATGTAATCCAGGTGTACATAATAGTCATGTGTAACCCAGGTGTACATAATAGTACTGTGTAACCCATCCCTTAAATGCCAGGCTGTGGATACATAGAAACAGTCAGAGTAGATGAGAAACAGTTTGAGCAGAGAAATATAGGACGTCGTCATGGCAATTCACTGTACTGTAGGATAGGACTGTGGAATCTGGCTGTAGCAAAGCATACTGCAAGTAGCTATTTCAGGAAGAGTTCCACCATACAAATAGTATTAGAACACTATTTAAGAGTTCCACTACCTCCTAATTCCCAACTTATCTCTGGCTACATGTGCATGTGTAGGCTACTCCACGTGCATTTATAGTCCTACTGTCTGTGTTGTCCTGGCCCTAATCCATTTGATCTTTTCAGGAATCACAGGTTCTCCTTTATAATCGAATCAAACGTTACATTTGGCAGATGGGGACATTGACATTAGGTTTAGTAGAAATCACACCATACTGAACAAGCTTCAACACACACTCCATGACTAGTTTACAGTGGTTGGGGTCAAAGGACAAAGTCCAAATTGCCAATCAATGTGGCATTATTTTACTTCTCTCTCCTCTCTCATTTTATCCAATTAAAGAGGAATGTTTTGGGATTTCTGTGTAAAATACACGTTCTGAATATTATTTCTGGGTATAAGCAAGCATACAGTATGTCTTACAGTATACGCTTGCCTATACAGTGTAAGATATGTTATACAGGAATAATATTGTTAGGTAAGGGAGCCTATTGTATTCCAGCAAGGGCCCAATAAGTCAACACATGGAGATCAATAAGTCAAACTAGTCCAGTGTATTTCTGGTTGTTTCTGTTGGATGATACTACCTGCAAACGTTTCTTTCATTTGTGATTAGGACATATAGCCCAAAGCCAAATATAGGCTTATAGCATATTTGCAGTTCAATTCGGTACATATTAAAGGCAAAAGTACCTTGTAAAAATTGTGTTATAAAAGTGTTACAACTGTGTAATAACAAATAATTCCAATAAATAGGGGTTTTAGAGCAGGGTTAACTTACAGTTTCTATGTTTCTATGAGCAAATGGACGCAACAATCATTAGCTTAGACTGCTGCGAATTAAATAAATCACAATACGGTACATGCTAAGGGCTATAAGCCATCCCAATGACAGTGTAATTATTAATTTACGACTACTAATGAGCATACTTCCCAAACATCCTCTGTTCCATTATATCATTGTAAGTATGTCAGGCTTGTTGAAACTGACCGCTAAGTTGCTCCCGGTGCTCCTGGCTCCCCGTGGGCTCGGTGACCACTTTGTGTCCGCACAGCCCCAGCCCCTGGACCAGCTGCTCGAGAGGCAGATCGGAGTCCGGCTTCGGGTAACAGCGGAGCCCGCTGGAGCATCTCGGGGTGTACACGCCGCATAACTCACCCTCTTGCCGGGCGCAAACGGGGCAGCAACCGCAGCCCGGTTCGCGCACTATCTCCGCACAGGTCTCGGTGAGCTTCGGGCACGCAGCCTGACGTTCGGCGGTGCAACTCGGGCAACGGAAGACCATCTCCGCGAGTGAAGCGCCCACGAAAGCCACCGAAAGCAGCAGCAAGCTGCAGCTTAAATACGATATCATTCTCGGCATGGAACTTCTTGTCATTTAGTGGAGCGATGGAACGCAACTCCAGGTAAAATAACTGCGCATGCTAACAGGTGAAGCCAGCTGCTGGGTTGATTTCTGCAGGGTCCTACCAACGGCAGGATTTACTGACAGCTCGTCAGACCAGTGGTGCGTATGGCAGAGCAGCAGGCAAGCCCAAAAGGCAATTTTGTGCTATGACCAAATATTGTATAGCATCTCAAGTTTTCATGCACAAGTATACCTAAGACCAGTCCAAATGACTTGTTATTTTGTAATCAACTTACATTATGGGACACAGCCAGGTGTCTCTGGCCAACTGTTGATGTTGATGAGGCCTGTATATAGATAGATCTGATGATTTATTACAACAAGCAGAAATAACTGTCAGACAAACCCAAACACACATAGGCTACACTGAAGCAATACCCTATAAACGTTATTTTTACAATTATTCTGAGCAATGGAAACTATGAAATGTAAGTTCTAAATACTATCCTCATTATAGGCTATGTAGCCTATTTCTAATACTACTATTGTTGCAAATGTGAAAAAAAGACACTGTACATGCTAGAATAGGGAAAGGCAAGGATACAGTGTTTTATGTGGTAGTATCATGCAACTCAATGGAGGAAAACGAGGCATCATTCCCTTGGCTGGGCCTGAGACTAAGAGAGGCAATATTACATACTCTAGCATGTTTATTTTTATCAGCATGCACCCTCTCCCTGAAAATAAATAAATAAACAAACATAAACAAAAAGTGTTCCTTTCATGGAACTCTGCAACGTTCCTGCCATGTCCATTGACACTTAATGAAAGACCTGCCCCGAGGCTGCATGCCGTACCCTACCTGGTGGGCACTGTGTATGTTGCCTATTGATCAGCTGGAGCCAGGCGCTGAGGTGTTGTGCTTACATACCAAACAAGCTCCCATTAACCCGTCCAGTGAGTGTGGTGAGACTAATTGCTGTTTATTTAAGGGCACAGAAATAGACATTGCATATATACTGTAACCATACTCTCCAGCCAGGCAGGGAGTCACAGATATAAATGTGGATTATTTTGTTTTGTGGGTGCCCTCTGATTTCATGGTATTTCACCTATTTACGGTCGGCATCCCGGCTTGCCTTGGGGGCGGTCGCGAGGAGAAAGGGCCCTTCTGAAGGGGCCAGTATCTCGGGGGCATCTGGATGATGCTGGGGGTGTTTGCGTAGAACCTCATATGTCATTTTATAAAAAGCAACATTGGGGAGGAGAAGCAGAGAAGGCCTGGTTTATAAACAAGGCCTGCGGCTAGAGTTTGCCCAGCGTCTGGGGATGGCCACCAGGTAACGGAGTAACAGGCCACAATATCTGGCCAGCGGTTATTGCAATGCCATTCCCATCAAGTTCAGCTACCTAACATTCCCCCCAGAATTAAGTCAATATACACACTAGATAAAGCACAGGTCCACATTGATAGCGAGCGCTGGGTGAGATCTCCTAATGCAGTGAATGCATACATTATCTGTTCCTATGCATATGTAAAGAGAGCTACAGTTCATTTCAATATGTGTAAGTAGGCATTTCACTGTTAGTCCACACCTGTTGTTTACGAAGCATGTGACAAATAACATTTGATTTGATTGATTTGAAGTGCAACATTACAACACTGAGCAGAATTCCCCTTGATTATAAAAGGGCATATTTCAGATATGGGCCTAGCACAGTTGGATGACCTGTTTATATTTGTATGTATTAGACAGTATCCTGGCTATAATGACTATAATGTATTAGAACAGTATCCTGGCTATAATGACTATAATGTATTAGAACAGTATCCTGGATATAATGACTATAATGTATTAGAACAGTATCCTGGCTATAATGACTATAATGTATTAGAACAGTATCCTGGCTATAATAACTATAATGTATTAGAACAGTATCCTGGCTATAATGACTATAATGTATTAGAACAGTATCCTGGCTATAATGACTATAATGTATTAGAACAGTATCCTGGCTATAATGACTATAATGTATTAGAACAGTATCCTGGCTATAATAACTATAATGTATTACAACAGTATCCTGGCTATAATGACTATAATGTATTACAACAGTATCCTGGCTTTAATAACTATAATGTATTAGAACAGTATCCTGGCTATAATGACTATAATGTATTACAACAGTATCCTGGCTATAATGACTATAATGTATTAGAATAGTATCCTGGCTTTAATGACTATAATGTATTAGAACAGTATCCTGGCTATAATGACTATAATGTATTAGAACAGTATCCTGGCTATAATGACTATAATGTATTAGAACAGTATCCTGGCTATAATGACTATAATGTATTAGAACAGTATCCTGGCTATAATGACTATAATGTATTAGAACAGTATCCTGGCTATAATGACTATAATGTATTAGAACAGTATCCTGGCTATAATGACTATAATGTATTAGAACAGTATCCTGGCTATAATGACTATAATGTATTAGAACAGTATCCTGGCTATAATGACTATAATGTATTAGAACAGTATCCTGGCTATAATGACTATAATGTATTAGAACAGTATCCTGGATATAATGACTATAATGTATTAGAACAGTATCCTGGCTATAATGACTATAATGTATTAGAACAGTATCCTGGCTATAATAACTATAATGTATTAGAACAGTATCCTGGCTATAATGACTATAATGTATTAGAACAGTATCCTGGCTATAATGACTATAATGTATTAGAACAGTATCCTGGCTATAATGACTATAATGTATTAGAATAGTATCCTGGCTATAATGACTATAATGTACTAGAACAGTAGCCTGGCCTGATCCCGAGGCAGACCCTGTGTTTGTATTGGGATGAACTGTGACCTGAGAAGTTTACTGACTCACATGATATATTTTACTAGTGAGGTTTCTCTCTCTCTCTCTCTCTCTCTCTCTCTCTCTCTCTCTCTCTCTCTCTCTCTCTCTCTCTCTCTCTCTCTCTCTGACATACAGTACAGTACGCTGAATCACAGAACCAAGAAAGGGTTTAATCCAACCTACCAAAGCCTTCTAACAGGCCTGCTTTGTTCAGGGCTAAAAGTAAACAGTGCTGGTTCACCTGCAACAATGAAAACAATCCCTTTGAACACAGTGAAGGAAAAAGGGACAGTGATATAGTGTTCTTAGGCGCTCCTTTGACCTTGTTCTGGAAGAAGAAAAGCCTTGACTTGACATGTCCCGATCCCGAATCATCCCTCCGTTCTCTGCCAATTATGAGCCAAAAGAGGAATCATTTTACAACCATATTGTATTTACATGTAGCCTACTGTGCTGTAAGGCTCTGACTTGTGCAAAAGGCCACAAAGGAGGAGGAGGATTCCCGTAGCCTGGTCCCAGATCTGTTTGTGCTGTCTTGCCAACTCTTTTGGTCAATGTCACGCCAAAAAATAGCCCAAACAGATGTGGGACTAGGTTAGGTTCCAGGCAAAGTTCCAGGCTAGGTTTCAGGCTAGGTTCCAGGCTAGGTTCCAGGCTAGGTTCTAGGCTAGGTTCCAGGCGTTCCAGGCTAGGTTCCCTGTGCTTGCTGGGGCATGTTCAAGTATTGCTCTTCCATTTTGAGGGCAGGATTTGGACAGTGAAAGAGCACATGGTTTATTTAGTGTGTTGATAAGACTTAATTGACTTTCCTTTGACTGAGTCACTGATTGGATAAATAGAGAAATGGTGGGGATTGTGGAAAACTTTTTATTCTCAGATCTATGGGCCCATATAAACATAATCCTTCAATTCATACATGCAAAGACATCTAAACATCTAAACATAACCTAAGCATTGTGTTTTTGTTTACTTATGTAACCATATGTTCGGACATTGAGAATCCCAAACAGAAGATGTCAGACTGAATGGTCTAAACTGAAATGGAAAATCAAGGTCACACAATTATAGATTTTTTTAGAAGACATTTCCCCCATAAAAATGCAACCAACTAATCCACATTGTTTAGTTGGTCCATGTTTTCCATAACATAAATAATGTTGCTTGATTTTAATGCAATCCCAAAGATCAGAGGATTTGAAACAGTCGCAACATGCTTTCAGTGTAGGCTGGTCTGCAGAGAACCTTTCCTGCCAGAGCAGTCCTGCTCGTTCAGCATCTCAGTGGATGGAAATGTTTACCAAATTACCGTACATAAATCCTTACATGGAAACATCCCCAGTCCCGAATGGAAAAAGATTGTCTTGTGTGTGCGTGTACGTGTGTGTGTTACCTAGCAACAAGACATGAATGTGTACAGGCTTAATTAGAGAAACCACTTAGTTTTGGACATTTGGTATAAAAGGTGGAAGCTTAATGTATCCCCCCCAAAAGTATTGGTAGTAAGCCTATTTATAAAAATGCTTACTTTACTTACTTAGTCACAATTACAGATTTGATAAAAGTCTTTAGTAGGCTAAACGATATTATTTTGTGTGCGCTGCATAGTTACATCTAGCTACCTCTTGCAGCGTTGAAACCTGTGCATTGAATTTCCACTCCATTGTAAAGATAACATCCAGAAAATTATAAAAGGGTGATAAAGCATACCAGAAAGATGTGCTGAGTGTTCTCAGAATGCACTTGATAAAGATGAGCAAATTGGGAATGCCCCAATGCGTTGTCACTGTCATAAACATTAAAGTAAATATAGTTGATCCCCAATGATTTGATCCTGCTTCTTGGGGTAGGGAGCCATCTAGTGTTGGCTATGGCCAAGAAATCAGACTGAATCTGACATTTGAATCATATTTTGTACAGGCACACTCATTTTTTAGAGATGTCTTGCTAATCTATAATATTTCAATATATATTGACTGGCACAAGTTACGAAAACGCCTGTTTCGTCTTTTTAAAATTTGGTATCTCCCGGCCACTGTATATTTTTTTTCGAAACTTCCTCACGTGACATCAGTCCAAGTGAAGATGTCAACATCAACCACTGAGTACACTTGAAGTTATTTGACTGATGCTTTTATCGTATTGCTGGCAATCAGAAGGGAATGTCGATGTTGACCACTGCTTGACTGTCACATAAGATAGCTAAGGTATGTTGCTGTCTCAAGAAATAGTCTGTGGAATGCTATCCAAGACAAGCTACAACAGCTAGCTAGCTAGAGATTCGTGTTGGCTTTGTGAGTAGCCCAGTTTAAAGTTCACAAACAACTGCAGGTCCTGCATTGCAATTTATTCTACATAACTAGCTAGGTGGTATTTAACTAGTATCCTGCATGTTAGCTTCCATCATCTCTATACTGTAAGTTGAGAACGTATTTTTATTTTAACAATTTGGGGTATTGTTTGGGTTGTCTGCATGTGTCACATTTCCCCAGCATCATCTGTCTCGGTCTCCTCATCTATTTTATCCTGCTTTGTTTACCTGCAGGATGGCTGGATGTCACAGTGGCCAATCCACCCTTGTCAACAGCTTGGCCACTCTGCTTCGGAATCATGGTATAGTAACATCACCACCGTCTGTCTCCCAAAACATATTCAAGACATAGCCCCTGTGTTATCCCAGACCTGCTAATCTGTTCCCTCTCCTAAATTGTGATCAGACCTTTTGAGGTTGTTGGAAATTATTAGGGGCTCATAGCTATACTGTAGCTACATGCTTAATACATTTTATATTGCATTGTAACTGTTGGTTTTAAGTGGTGTGTGACCATTGTCTCTCCTCTCTCTCCAGGTGCCTCTGTGCTGGACGGCAGCAGTACCCTGACTCTACAGTCAGACTCTCTGCAGCACCTAGGTCGTCTGTTTGAGCAGTACCTCCTCTCCAGGACTCACCAACATGGCTTCCTGGCTCTGCCCTCACACCCTGCTGACACCACCTCCCTACTGCAGCTCCAGTTCGTGTTTGACGTGCTGCAGAAGACCGTCTCCCTCAAGGTCTGTTTGTGTGTGTGTGTGTCCTGCTGTATTTGTAAACAGTTTTGTGGTAGATGTATGCATAACTTACTCAGCACTGCATAAACACAAAATGTTCCAAGGAAAACTGTGAATTATGTGGACGTCTGAGGGAATTTCATTGAGCCACTAGGTGGAGCTATAGCATTCTGTATAATGTTCTTTGGCCTTTGGTTTTTCATTCCTAGCTCATCAACCCACCTGGGTCGAGGCTTCAGTCAGTGGTCAAGATCTTTCCTTTCAAGTCTCTCAAGTCCTTAGAGGTATGGGATGAAAATGTGTCCGCTTCTCCTTTGTAACAAAACAGTATGAATATCAATATAGATGAGTCTGATGGCTTACTCTGGGCCTGTTTTTCTGTCTCCAAGTTGAAGCGTATCCCCCCTCACTGTCTGGAGGACCTGAGGGGAGTCTATTCTCAGTTAGAGGTCTTCACCTGCTCCAAGAGCCTCAGCTCCCTGGAGGTAACACACACGCATCACATTTTTGTCTTTCTCAATAACAGACCCCTTTGTGTTGGAGTTTGAGCCAGTGTTATTGTTACAGGAGCTACTGTCTCTGTGTGGAGGAGACCTCAGCTCTGCACTGCCCTGGCTGGAGCTGCACACCCTCAACTTCAGCTACAACACTATAGTCTGCCTGGATGAGTCACTGGTAAGACACTCACACATGCTGCTGCTTACTGGTTTATTTATTCACCTGACTGACATTTGTTTTTAATGTGAATCACTTTTTTGTCATGTTTTTAATGTGAATCACTTTTTTTGTCGATTTTAATGTGAGTCGCTTTTTTTGGCCATGTTTTTAATAATAATGTTAATCACTTTTTTTGGCCATGTTTTAATGTGAGTCACTCTGCCTTTTTTAGAGTTTACTGAATGTTCTGAAGTCTCTGGATCTTAGTCACAATAAAATCCAGGAGTGTGCTGACTTTCTCAAGGTAGGGTGGCATGACTTCCAATTTTATATTTCTGGCTAGGTTTTGTGTCTGTGTGTTGAGAAGGGTTCAGAGTTGGAGACATACAGCAGGGAGATGCAGTAACTTACTGTACTGGGCTATCTCCATATCTACTGTCTCTCTCCTCCTCTCTCCCCTCTCTCTCTCAGCCTCTGAGTGAACTAGAGCACCTCAACCTGGGCTATAACAACCTCCAGAGAGCACCAACGCTGGGCCTGAGCTCCAGAGCCAAGCTCCTCACTCTCATCCTCAGAAACAATGAGCTGGAGACCATCAACGGTACCGTAACACCTCGCCTCTGATAGACACCATCTGCTCATGCTAGAATGGATGATAGTATGGTGGTTTCTCTACTGATTTTCTTTTCTTTTCTTTTTTTTCCCCATATTGATATTATCCCTAAACGTATGCCAAAAATCATCAATACCAAATAGTTAGCAATAGTATTCCATCTGCAGACTCCCTCAAGACTACCTGTTATGCACGACCCCTTGAACTGACCTCTCAGTATTAAAACAGAGAGGGACTTCAGCCAATCAAAGCCTTGGACAAGACAGGGATATCAGCCAATCAAAGCCTTGGATCTGTTTACCGCCTTGTGTCCACAAACAGTTGGGGGCTATAGATAAACAGGAAGCTAGGAATATATTAATATACTGGCATACTCCAACTCTACAATGCTTATTGTTTGGTAAGCCTGTGTAGTTTCTTTGCCAGTACTGCCTATCTGCCCATCTCCTTCCCTATTGTGCAGTGTGGATGGCTGACTGTCTGTCTCTGTCTCAGTATGAGATACCTAGATGTCTGATTTGGTGGTTACTGGTTTACCTTGGGTGACACCTGAGACTGTGTGTGTGTGTGTGTGTGTGTGTGTGTGTGTGTGTGTGATCCTATGCAGGAGTGGAGCAGTTGTCATCCCTACAGCACCTGGACTTGGCCTACAACCTACTACTGGATCACTCCCAGCTGGCTCCTCTGTCTATGCTGCACAGTCTCAACACGGTGAGGGAGGGAGAGAGTTTCAGGAGTTTACTGTGTGACATAGCCTCTGTGTTATCCCAGACCCACTGACCTGTAGCCTCTCTCTCTTTTTTTAGCTGAATCTGGAGGGCAACCCACTGTTCTTCCAGAAGACCCACAGAACATGCACTGTCCGCCACCTCTCCCCCAAGGCTGCCTACCTCAGAGTGAGTGAGAGGAGGAGGGAGGGAGGGAGGGAGGGAGGGAGAAAAAGCGGAAAGCTGAATTTGGACCCAGTCTTTTTTTCATGATTTCTCTGTCTTCTCTTTGAGTTTAATATTGTCTCTCCCCCTCTCTCCCCCCTAGCTCAGACTGGACAGCAGCCCTCTCTCCTCCTCAGAGTTGTCAGTGAGTAGGCCAGTCCTGTATGGGTCAGCAGGCATATACTCTACACTTCTCTAGTCTTGTTGGGTCACTTGTTGATGTGCACTTCAAGTCCATTCGTGGGATTCACCACTTTTGTACCAGATAGTCTAACATGGGACCGCCCCCCCCTTCACAGGTGCTACCCAAACTGGGACAGCTGATTGGCCAGTTCCAGTCCCAGGCCTCGCCCTTAGTCACCAGGGCTCCAGAGCGGGGTAACCAGGAAGTAGTGTCCAGCGGGGGCGGGGATTTGAGTGACAGCCTGTCGGTCAGTGAGGTGGGAGTGACGCGACAACGCAAGAAGAAAACCAAAGTAAGTCAGCTACACACCTCACTGAGTGGCTGGGGGGTTCTGTCCCACCCCCTAGCCTCGCTGTGTACATCTTAAAATACTGGCTAGGTATAAGCAATACATGTTAATAGCTTGAACTAACCCTCTGATAGGATCAAGATCTATAGAAGTGACTACGGGGTAAGGGGGCTATGGGGATAAGGGGCTAGGGGTCCATTTGGAATTGACAAATCAATACAGGCAGAGAGGAAGGAACACGTTTCTGGAATGTTGTGTGTGGCGTGTGTGTGTGTGTTATATAATATCCGTCTATGTTGTTTCAGAGTAAGGTGAGAGTGAGACGGGCTAGCATCTCAGAGCCCAGTGACTATGACTATGAACCCAGACCACAGTCCTCTGTACAAGGTAAACTATTACAGTGTGTCTGTGTGAGTGTGTGTGTGTGTGAGTGTGTCTGTGTGAGTGTGTGTGTGTGTCTAAAGAAACCTCCTCTCTCCCCTCAGACATCGTTCTCCCTCACCAGAAGGAGATTGAACGCATGGACAGTTTCAGGGACCAACTGGGTGAGGATTGGCTGCGCTACCAACATCACCTAGAGGGGGCGCCAATTGCCACCCTAGACAAGCCAGCTCCTCAACACCTCACTAACGGTCTCCGTGGCACCCCCTCCCCACCCAACCCCAGCCCTGTCCAGGCCAGCCCCGCCACCTTTGAGCCCCCTTCTCCAGCGCTGGAAGTCCCAGAGGTTCTACCCCCACCACTGCTCTCGTCTGAGCCCAAGGAGGAGGCCTCCGACTGGGATGCAGATCTGGAGACCGAGTCCACCCTCCAGTGGCCTGACCACAGCCTCGGGCACACAGAGTCCACCCTGGAGACTACTATGGCAGAGGGACAGGGACTGGGTCAGGGGATAGAGGGGTCACCGGCGACACCCACGGACACCAGAGAAGAAGAGGAGGAGGACTTGGGAGGTAGGAGCACTTCAGAACTAGCAGTAGCACACCTGATTTCAAGTAGCCAACTAATGATCCAGCCCTCAACTAGTCCAACCAGCTGTGCAAGAGCTGGAATACAACCAACGACTGGGGTGTTCCAAAGGAACTGATTGGGCAATGCTGAGCCAACCTTTGACCTCTCTCTGTCTTCTGTCTCTAGTTGACCTGTGTCACCCCCTGCTTGTGGGAGTACTATCATCATCAGAAGAGGAGGAGGAGGGTGGGCTGAGGAGGAAGAGCAGGGCCAAGTGTCCAGTGTTCCTGAGGGTCAAGCCAGGCCACATCCTGGAGGTGGACATGAGCAGGGGTCAGTTGCAGGCCCGGCTAGAGTTGGACAGTCTGGGGAGGGTCACCATGTCCCAGGCCACCTGGACTGAGAGGGTGAGGAGGGGCAGGGGGAGGGAGGAAGGAAGGAAAGAGGGGGAGGGATGGTGGGGGAGGGAGGGAGGAGAGGGGAATGATGTAGAGAGGGAGGGGAGGAGGGATGTGGGGGAGGGAGGGAGGAGAGGGGAATGATGTAGAGAGGGAGGGGAGGAGGTATGTGGGGGAGGGAGGGAGGGAGGAGAAGGGAATGATGTAGAGAGGGAGGGGAAGAGGGATGGTAGGGAGGGAGGAGATGGGAATGATGTAGAGAGGGAGGGGAGGAGGTATGTGGGGGAGGGAGGAGAGGGGAATGATATAGAGAGGGAGGGGAGGAGATGTGGGGGAGGGAGGGAGGAGAGGGGAATGATGTAGAGAGGGAGGGGAGGAGGGATGGTGGGGAGGGAGGAGATGGGAATGATGTAGAGGGAGGGGAGGAGGGATGGTGGGGGAGGGAGGGAGGGAGGGAGGGAGGGAGGGAGGAGATGGGAATGATGTAGAGAGGGAGGGGAGGAGGTATGTGGGGGAGGGAGGGAGGATGCAGAGGGGAATGATGTAGAGAGGGAGGGGAGGAGGGAGGGAAGAGAGGGGAGGAATGGTGGGGCAGGTGGAGGGAAATCATGGTGAGAGGAAGGGGGGATTTTTTTTTTTGTTGTTGCCTGAAATGAAAGAAGTATATGTTTTATATTTGTTCTAAAGATAGTTATTTCTCTCTCTAGGAGGTGGAGCGGATTCTTCCTGCCGTAGAGCTTCACTTCCGTTACATCAGCAGAGAGAGGAGGAGGAGACGCTATGTAATGCTGGATGATGACCCCCAGGAGGCACTGCAGGTAACAGACATAAAAATAAAGTTTTCCATTAAAACTCCACATGAATTCCACGTGAATTCACAATGCAGCTACGCTGCTGCCAGCAAAGTTTTGGGTCTCATCACGGTACGTCCCTTTCAGATGGTTAAGCATTGCACCTGTACTACCGTTACTGTACCTCAATTCCACCTCGCAGAGTTTGTATTTCCTTCTCATTTAACTTCTCTAAGTATTACCATACAGGACTACGCTGCTGTCACATGCAAACTGTTGATGAGGTAGTGGTGGAGAGTGTCGACTCCAATAGAATTGATACCTCGACTACTTGCCCGTCGACTCTCGGCGTCGACTCCCATTTCTGAGTGTCAAGATTGACTCCTAAGATTCAGTATACTTGGAACGGAGGAGACTGATTAGTTGCCGTACTTCCGTAGCTCAGCTGGTAGAGCACGGCGCTTGTAACACCAGGGTAGTGGGTTCGATCCCCGGGACCACCCATGCACAAAAATGTATGCACGCATGACTGTAAGTCGCTTTGGATAAAAGTGTCTGCTAAATGGCATGTTATTATTATTATTATAACACAAACTCTTGCATATTTCATAGCGAGCTAGCCAGGGACGGAGAGAGAGGGGAGGGGCACAGTATAGGCAGGTCAGCCAACAGGCAGACGGAGTCAGAACCGTGCCCTATCTATCAGTATAGGCAGGTCAGCCACCAGGCAGACGGAGTCAGAACCGTGCACTAGGCCTATCTATCGGCAATGAAAAGCTGTATCTCTCAATGAAAAGCTGTATCTCTCAATGGAATGCTGTATCTCACAATTTCTTGGCTTGCAACTTCAGTAAAGCAGGGCCTATTATCAATGAATAGGCTAGGATGTTCTACACGGAACAGACCGAAGACTGAACACACACTTGCATCATTAGCGAAGAGAAAGAGCAGAGGTGTAATCATTAGTCCAAACAGTTGCAAAATGTCCACCAGGCTGTTGGACTGATGTTGCCATCAGTCCAACAGCTCTGGTCTTGCTCATTAGGCCCAATGATATCTATCGTTTTCTTGTAGTTTGTGTGTTTTGCGTAAGCAGCCATTGGAATGTTCTGTTTTTGAATGTTCTGTATTCTGAATGTTCTGTTTTCTGAATGTTCTGTATTCTGAATGTTCTGTTTTCTTGTTTGGGCTTGTATGTGGGTACAATAAAAATTTGAAGTAGCCAGTCATCATACAACATAACTGTTCTATCAGAAAATAGAAGGACTGTTCTTAAAGTTTCAAAGAATGTCTGGGAAAATACATGATTGTAAATACGGCGGGTGTTGTGTCGTTGCTAGGCACTGGCAGAGGTCCTGTCGCGGGTGGTGGAGGAGAACGAGCGCCGGGTCATGGAGGGTCGTCCCAGCTGTGTCCGCCTGCAGTGTCTACGCTGTGGGTCAGAGTTCACACAGCGGAGAGGGAAGGAGCAGGAGGACGGAGGGAGATTGAGAGGATGGACAGGACTGGAAGAGCAGGATGAGGAGGAGGGGAAGAATGAGTGCAGAGAAGATGGAGTGGGTGAGAGAGGCACACTCGGACAGGAGCACACGTACATGCATGCTAGGGATGGGCACGGTTATTCTAATATCCAAACGGATTTCAGTATTCGATTGCTTGGGAGATTATTCATTTTTTCTTCTCTCTCCCTCCGTGCCACACAGACAAACCATCACACACACTGGCCCCTGATTCGCTCTCGCTCCTCCCCTTGAAACAAGCAGAGCGCAGCTCTCTCTCGTCGCGTGAGCAAGTCTCCGTTGAAGTTTCAAAAACATGTATTTCGACTATCTGGATATCCGAAAAAAAATATCATGATATTATTTGAATGCTGAAATCATTTAAAATGCCCATATCTAACACATAGACACACACACATACATATATACACTACCGTTCAAAAGTTTGGGGTCACTTAGAAATGTCCTTGTCTATTAAAATAACATCAAATTGATCAGAAATACAGTGTAGACATTGTTAATGTTGTAAATGGCTATTGTAGCTGGAAACAGCTGATTTATTTATGGAATATCTACATAGGCGTACAGAGGCCCATTATTAGCAACCATCAGTCCTGTGTTCCAATGGCACGTTGTGTTTGCTAATCCAAGTTTATCATTTTAAAAGGCTAATTGATCATTAGAAAACCCTTTTGCAGTTATGTTAGCACAGCTGAAAACTGTTGTGCTGATTAAAGAAGCAATAAAACTGGCCTTCTTGAGACTAGTTGAGTATCTGGAGCATCAGCAATTGTGGGTTCGATTACAGGCTCAAAATGGCCAGAAACAAATAACTTTCTTCTGAAACTCGTCAGTCTATTCTTGTTCTGAGAAATTAAGGCTATTCCATGCGAGAAATTACCAAGAAACTGAAGATCTCGTACAACGCTGTGTACTACTCCCTTCACAGAACAGCGCAAACTGGCTCTAACCAGAATAGAAAGAGGAGTGGGAGGCCCCGGTGCACAACTGAGCAAGGGGACAAATACATTAGTGTCTAGTTTGAGAAACAGACGCCACACAGGTCCTCAACTGGCAGCTTCATTAAATAGTACCCTCAAAACACCAGTCTCAACCTCAACAGTGAAGAGGCGACTCCGGGATGCTGACCTTCTAGGCAGAGTTGCAAAGAAAAAAAGTCTAGTGTCTGTGTTCTTTTGCCCATCTTTATATTTTCTTTTTATTGGCCAGTCTGAGATATGGCTTTTTCTTTGCAACTCTGAAGGTCAGCATCCTGTATTTCTGATCAATTTGATGTTATTTTAATGGACCAAAAAATTGCTTTTCTTTCGAAAACAAGGACATTTCTAAGTGACCCCAAACTTTGTAACAGTAGTGTACATACAATCATGCATGCATACATGCATACATACATACAGACATACATACAGGTAACTGCCAAAATAAAGGAAACACTTAAGTAAATGAGGGATACAAAGTATATTGAAAGCAGGTGCTTCCACACAGGTGTGGTTCCTGAGTTAATTAAGCAATTAAAATATCCCATCATGCTTAGGGCCATGTATAAAAATGCCCAGTTGCCCATTATTTTGGCTACCATGGCTAGAAGAAGAGATCTCAGTGACTTTGAAAGAGGGGTCTCAAAGGAGCATAGGGGGTTTTAAAGGGTGTCTGTGTCTGTCACCAAATCTCAACCCAATCGAACACTTATGTAGGGCGATTTATATTGAATTAATTTGATTAATTCAAATGTATGTTTTTGCAGGATATTCCAAATGCCTGTGTCGCAAGAATCCAGTTTTTATTTTAGTTTTTATGAGCGTTTATGTCTGCTTGTTCTCATGTGTTTTTGGTCTCGTCTCCTTCGCTCCTCTGTGCTGTGCACCTTCCTATTTACACCAGAGATCTGTATATAATGACGAGATGCTCATGTCTCCGCCCTAACAATGGGAGTCGTTGTCCCAAAGTCGGGAAGGCAGGCGACAAGCTTAAGTCCAAAATAAGCCCATAGAAACGCAGGTTTAGTCCAACAGAATCGGTCATATGGACACCGAAACACATTGAGACATTATGTTACTGTAATAGAGGAGAAGTTAACCTGTGTCAACTCCTCAAATTGCGTGCAGAGCAGACCCTACTAAAACAGGAGTATCAATGAACATTGATTCTGGAAAATTAATGCTGTTTGCTCAGTTTGGTACCAGCATTTTAGCCAAAGACCGTTTTACTAGCTCTCTAGTCTGTTTTATAAATGTGCAATAAGCATAAAGCACAATTACATAAGGAATTGGCAACTCGTTCTCATTCTGAGAAATAAGATAGGCCACTTGATTTCAACCTGAACAAAGTGGACCAGCTAGCATGCTGATCAAACAGTTGGAGACGGACAGAAGGGTGTGTTCCTAACAATTAAACTCTTCTGCCTTGTTGTCTAGCAAATAGATCCAAGTTGGTTAAACATCAAATGTAAAGACTAGCTGGCTACTCATTAGCATGTGGGCTTGTGCTTGAGAGATTGCTTACTGTATGAGACCTGAGTTCTATAATGACTGCTACAAGAAGTTAGTCATTATTAGTGAATGTGCATAATGCATAGTTCTGGTAAACATTTTAACAAAAATGACATTTTAATAGACAGACTTGAACACCAGATCAGTGATTATTGCAGGAAAAAAAGGGACTGTTTGAAATGCAGTGTATTTGACCTTTAATTGTACAAAAAAGCTTATTTAGAGAACATCTATAAAAAAAAAAAAAAACCTTGAGCTATATATGGTAAATCAGCCCATAAGTTTGAAAAAAATTAGATATTATTTTTTAGGCCATATCGCCCAGGCCTACACTTATGGGAGATTCTGGAGCAGCGCCTGAGACAGCGTTCTCTACCACCTTCAATAAAACACCAAATTATGGCATTTCTCGTGGAAGAATTGTGTCGCATTCCTCCAATAGAGTTCCAGACAGTTGTAGAATCTATGCCAAGGCACTTTGAAGCTGTTCTGGCGCATCGCGGTGGCCCAACGCCCTATTAAGACACTTTATGTGGGTGTTTCCTTTATTTTGCTCATGTTCAGTCATCTCCATCCCTCTGATAGAGATCTTAAGGACAGGGCTCTGCTGGGAGCGTGCAGGATCATGCCTTGACAGACGTCACACGGATGTGGGCGGAGCTCCGATGATGAGTTGTTCTAAAACCTCTTGAGGTTACATGTAGTCCTCTGTAGCTCAGCTGGTAGAGCACGGCGCTTGTAACGCCAAGGTAGTGGGTTCGATCCCTGGGACCACCCATACACAAAAATGTATGCACGCATGACTGTAAGTCGCTTTGGATAAAAGCGTCTGCTAAAAGGCATATTATTATTATTATTATTATTATTATTATTATTATTATTACCATGGCAACAGACATAACAGCTATGGTCCAAGCAACCAAACAGATTTTTCCCTTCTAAATTGGTTGTCATAACTTTGTCGAAGGTGCTTGTGAGGTTCTTCTATCAACTCTTTTAATCAACTCTCTTTCTCAAGTACTAATTGACCAGAAAATCGCTGAAAAGAAACATTTGAACAGGCCAAATTGAGCTTTTCAGTCCTATTTGTCTTTTAACGCTTGGCTGTTTGTCCCACAGACGACTAACTAACCACTATAATTAGCGGAGACAGATACAGATGGCTTCAGGCTATCAGCTTAGCCCTCCTCTCCCGGTCCTCAACAACCCAGAGCTGAAATTACAACATGCTCTGACATGCCCAGAGCTCAGGGAGAGTTTGTTCTACAGATGTCTATGGCTTTTGACAGTTGTACCTTCTAGTTGGAGTGTAGTTAGCCATATGCCTTCATATGCTGACTATGACATCTACACCAAGGAAAGGCTGAAGTGCCTAGTCATTAACTCTGTTTAAAGAGTGATAGATACAAGATTATGGACAGAATTTTGCCTTTTAAAACAAGCCTTTTGTGTAAAAAACCTATTACAAAATACATTAATTTACCAATACGTATGAATTCACACTGAAGTATAACACTTTTTTTGACACTAAATGTATTTATTTTCTGTTACTTCAGGAAGTACTGTCATCTGTCCTGAGTGTGGTAGTGATCATGTGGTCCAGCTGGCTGGCCAATTAGCTCCCTCCACCAGTACGCCCGTCCATACGCCCGTCCATGGTTCCCCAGGGCAAGATGGGACTGACCGACACTTTACCTTCAACCACAGGGATACACCTCTACCCAGTCACCCGGGCAACAAGGTTTGGGATTTTAATGTCTTTTAAGATTTATTTAAATATGTTGATGTATGATGAACATGTTTTTAAAGTCTAGGGTAATCAATCAATCAGCTTTCAGGCCCCGCCATAGGGTCAATACATCTCCCATATTCCCCCTCCCTCTGTTTTTAGGACCCCACCATGGAAGGCCCTTCCTCTGCCAGGGCCAGCCACTACGGCAGCCCTGCTATGAAGGCCTCAACCCAGGACACTATCCAGACCACCACCTCCATGGAGGACCCCACCTCCTCCTTCTTCTCAGCCAAGGGAAGCTCCTTCTCCTTGGGGGAGACCTGGGCGGACCAGAGCCGGGACCAGAGCCTGTCCCAGCCCGCCAGCTTCTACAGTACAGAGGGCCAGAGTAAAGGAAGTATAGCAGGAAGCTACAGCTATGCTGCTGGTGCTACCCCACCTGGACCCCAGGATCAGCATGCAGAACAAGCCAGCCCAGGTGGGTCCTGCTTTCTCTGCATAGACAGCATTTTGTAGTCATAATATATATATTTGAATACTTCTGCAATAACCAATTTTATTGCTAATATATAACATATTGGTATTATGATGGGGGGGGGGGGGGGGGGGGGCATAAACAAAATAACATTGTTTGATTGGGTCCCTTGGTTTTTTATCAGCCATCAGATTAAGTCATAAAATGGATATGATCCTTGATTAGAAGTGATGATGACCTGGATTTGAACCTTTTATTTAAAGCTTTTTCATCAAATGGTACCCCTTTTCTTTTGATGTCAATTGGTCCAGCACCATCCTCAGACAATTGCTTTCATTTTTGGTGTAATTCACATTTCTGGAAAAGGCTTCAAATAAAGGTTAAAATCCAGGTCATGTGACATGATAGTCCAAACACAGGGCCCTAGTGATAGGAGACAAGGAGGAAATACGTATTTGTGTTTTGCAAAAAAGAGTGTAACACAACAATCCACAGGGGATTATTTGATGTTGGTGACAGTGTCCCAGCCTGGCCCCTTGTGTCTCTGTCTGTGAGTCTTACTGAACCATGGGAGACTTTACTGTTAGACAGATTGGAGTTATTATTAGAACTGATGGGAGAGGAAGGAATGCTTCAGCCTCCACAGAGAAGACAATAGAATGGAGAGAGAGGGGAGGGAGAGAGAGAGACACAGAGAGAGGGAGAAAGAAAGAAAGAATGATCTTGGAGGGGGTATAAATACTTTATATACACAGAATAATATACCCTTCTATCAGCCAGAGATGCTGAAAGACTGAGAACATGGATTCCTTCTCCTTCTTTTAAAACCACACGCCACTGCAGAGACCCATCTCAAAGCACTTCATCAGCCCCTGAGCTGACGTTCATTTTACACTAACCTCTTTGTCTGGGAGAAGGCCACTCATTTGCTCCGTGAATTAAGAGCTCTGCCTGAGTTTCAAAAGAAACATGCTCGTTCAACTTGAGCAGGGAAGTAGGGTGTGTGTGTGTGTGTACACCCGTCACGTGTGTGTGTGTGTGTGTGTGTGTGTGTGCGCAGTGGATTGAGATGTAACTTAAAAAGGATGAAGACACCTATCTCTTTTCTAGAACAAGTCCTTTAGTCTAACACCAGATTACTACATGTAGATTAAAAGCTTCTTTGATCTGATTTCCCATGTATTTGGGACACATGTATCTGAATATCACACATCAAAAAGGGAATGTTGGGGGCCTCCCGAGTGGCGCAGCGGTCTAAGGCACTGCATCGCAATGCTTGAGGAGTCACTACAGACCCGGGTTCGATCCCAGGCTGTGTCGTGACCGGGAGGCTCATAGGGCAACGCACAATTGGCCCAGCGTCGTCCGGTTTAGGGGAGGGTTTGGCCCGTGGGGCTTTACCGGGTTCATCTGTTGCCAACATATATTGAGATGAACAGAGCGGAATGACTCAAATGCAAAGGCAATTTTAATACTCTTCCTTTAGCTATAAACACACTTCCACACAGTGATCTATGTAGCATTGGACCAGAATCAGAGAGGCCTAGTGAATGATGGCCAGATAGTAACTAACTGCCAGGAAACTGGCCTAATGACTCTATTGTCTCTGGTGTTGATGTGTGTCACCTTGCACTAAATGGACCAGTAGGCCTATGCCAAGTTAGATTTACTACACAGCGACAGCATAATGCTCCATAAACTACCATTTATAGACAGTTTAGATTTAGTGGGAGGGAGGGTTAAAATCTATATGTTCAATTATGAGAGACCCATCCCTTTTATCTGTTTTAGTGTGATCTGCCAAGGTAAATATATTTGTTTAAAAGTGAAAGTAGGGAGACCACAGCCAAAATGTTATTGGGTCTGTTAGCTGTTGCATACTAACTGTACTGTTTTTGAACTAGTACTGTGCGTCTGTGTTGGTTATGCTAAGCTAACTGCTGTCCTTGTGTGTTGGTTATGCTAAGCTAACTGGTGTCCCTGTGTGTTGGTTATGCTAAGCTAACTGGTGTCCCTGTGTGTTGGTTATGCTAAGCTAACTGGTGTCACTGTGTGTTGGTTATGCTAAGCTAACTGGTTTCCCTGTGTGTTGGTTATAAATGCTACGCTAACACTATTCTGACTGTCTGTAGGCCAGTTGGACCTTCTCTCAGAGGACTATGAGGCGGTGGACCATCGGCTGAAGCTCTTCCTGGATGTGGAGGTGTTCGAAGAGGAAGAGGAGCTCCACTCCTTTCTCAAGGTTAGGAGAACCAACGGTTTACAGTTCAGTGACATAGCTGAATCTGGTCACAGCAGTTCTGCTCAGAAGTTCAGTGAACTGCTAACCCAGCCAAAACCGGTCGGCTCCAGCTCTTGTGATCTGCTCCTGGCTGCTTTTGTGCCCCTAGCTGTTCTCTCACTGTCCTGCACCCCCTCTCTCTCTATCGCCACCCCCACCCACCACACAATGGCCTTGAATGAGCTCCTCCATGTGCAATGCATGCTGGGAGCCCTGTGGAGTAGAGGGGTATTGGTTTACTGCTCAGGACACCTGGACAAGGAGAGGGAGCCAAGAGGACACGAGCTTCCCCAGCAGGAGACAGGAGATCCAGCTCATAACATGCTCATTCATCTGATGTTTATTTATCTTGTCACACGTGCTCCTCTCCCCTCTGGCTCTTTCTCTTTCAACAGCTCAACTGTTTTGTTTTTGGGCCTGCACGGTATTCAATGAAGATTGATGTGACTTTGTTGCTTTTAAAAAGGAACTGATCTGCTCTTATACAGTATGTATAAGAAGAGCTCTGAATGCAGCCACCCATTTTTCCTCAGTGAAAGTTATTTACAGCAGTTAAGTTATCTGTTGTGGAATCTTTAACGTGTGTACATCTTATCTTTGTAGGTGTCGACCGTGAAGTTTGGTGATCCGGTGGAGTTCCCCTCGTTCCTGGTGGTGTCTGACCAACGCATCTACTTCCTGGAAGTGACATCAGACATGGAGTAAGTTAACCACCTGACCTGTCACACTGAAGAGCATCACACAAGAGAAGCCTGGAATAAAAATACCCATTCAGGGGTCACAGAAATGGTTGTACCTGTCATGAATGTATTGTCTGTAGAGGCATTTGGTCTGTAGACTAGAGTTTCTTCTATAAAGCTATAGGTGACATTTATGGGTACAGCAGCAACAGGTTTGGTAGGGAGCAGACCAACCCTATAGGATCACCACAGCTTTACGTAACCCACCACATCCCAATGCTAACAGACTTTCTGGGCCACATCTTGAGAACCCATTACAGCCCTGGTGTTTGTGGTGGCCCTACACTCTCCCCAGCCACTTCTCCTATTTCCTATATCAGTGGCTCCATGTTCCCTCTGTGTGAACACTATATCAAGCCCTGTATCAATGGCTGTTTTGTCTTCATCAAAAGCATGTTGTCTTGCCTCCACTTCCTCCCAGGAGTGTGAGTAGTACGGTGTTGGACAGGCCAGAGTCTCGTGCTGCGATGGTCCCTATAAAGTTACTGGGATTCTGACCCCAGAAGGCCACACCCCCACTGTCCTTAGCACGCCCTGGAAGTTGTGTAACGGCCATGTTTGGTTGCGCAACAGTGTGATAGAGTTCATATTGTTATGATGGCCTTCTCGCTACTTTTTTAAAAGTGCAATCGGTGACTTGGTTGTCTGTGGCTATCTGACAAGTTGCACAAACAATGCTCAAACAACAACATATACACACACTAAAAACAATCACGTGAGTAGACTCAAGGAAACAGAACGTTGATAGGCAAGATACATGCAAATAAAGTAATATGAGACACAGTGTTCTAATTCTATTTCTTTCCCACTTTCTCGTCTTCATTGTTCTCTTCCTGGCAGAGGGCAGCCGTGTGATTGGCTGCAGAAGAGGGACAGCCGTGGAATCACAGAGCTGAGTTACCTGGAGGTGGGACTGGGCTCCCAGAGTATCCACATGGAGTTTGAGGAAGGGCCCGTGGCATACACCCTGCTAGTACGGGACAGCGCACGTTGCAAGCGCTTCTTCAGCCTCCTCACAGGCAAGACGCTGCCACACGCGCGCACACACACACACACACTGCACATATGTTGCATGCATCTGTATCTCATGAATTAAGGGCCTTCCTCCTGGGGATATGAGAGAGGATTAGAGGGGAGCACACTCGTTCTTAGGACAATATGTCCCTCTCTTGCTCTCTGTCTCGCTCTCCGTCTCGCTCTCTCACTCTCTCCCTCCGTCGCTCCTCCTCCGTCACGCACTCTGTCTCTCTCTCTCTGTCTCTGTCTCTGTCTCTGTCTCTGTCTCTGTCTCTGTCTCTGTCTCTGTCTCTCTCTCTCTCTCTCTCTCTCTCTCTCTCTCTCTCTCTCTCTCTCTCTCTCTCTCTGTCTCTCTGTCTCTGTCTCTGTCTCTGTCTCTCTCTGTCTCTCTGTCTCTGTCTCTGTCTCTCTCAGTATGTTCATCGCATACTCATCTGCTCACAGTGACTACACCCTGACTAGACTCTCAGCCTGTCAGCAAGGCAAGACCAGAAGCAGAGAGAGAGGAAAGCTGAGTTTTATTAGATCAACACGCCCCTCTCTGACTCTCACAGCTTCTCACAACTCCTCACAACTTCACTAGAGCACTCTTTAATGGAGTCCCTTTGGCAGCAAGGGGAAGCACCATGGCCAAACTGTCTTCAGCTAAGGCTCTGTGGACCTGAGTCTGTGCTATCTTATCTGTGGGGACTCCATGCTGTCATTCACGGTCTTATCAATAATCACTCAGATCCAGTCATTATTTGACTGTTTTCCAGATTAACTCTTTAGCTAATCTGGGATATCAGGGTCAGGATGAGTCAGCAATGAGGTGTTAGATAGGATCAGTATTCAACACTGTTAACTTTCCCTTTACAGGGGTGGCAAACGAACTCCGACCCCTCTGATCCTTCTGACCCTTCTTATGTACCACATGCTCAGATGTCCTCAGATTCTTATTTGGAAACCCTCTGACTCTGAAAGTGATGGTACAGTCCAGAATCTAAGGTGGATTTCGGGCCTCAAAAGGGGTCTATTGTCAACGTGAGTCTATGTTGTGTAGATCCACTGTACATCCTAGAGCATAATAGATCTCATTAGAGTTCTCTTCTCTTCCAAGAGTATGCTCTAGCTTTCCTAGAGGTGGTCCTTTTCTTCTTCTACTGTGAGGCCTGTTGGAATAATTGTCTCATGAGGTTGTGTCCTTGTCTGGATTCATCAAATATTATTTTTCTCCTTCCTCTCAACGGCTGAGGACGGGTCCAGCTTTTCAGTCACTGGGACCACATAGCCGGCTAGGCCAGTCCAATTCTGGGCTCGGACTCTGTATTGCAAAGCTGAACGGCCCCGTAGAGAGAGACTGTAACAGGGCTCTGCTATAGCCTGCCAGTTGGATCATCTCCTATACGTCTTAAAATAACCTCTGTTCTTTTTGTGTTCCTGAGGAAGGAGGAGGAGGAACAGGAGAGTTGAGCCTGGTTGTAGGCCTGGTTCTGAGGTATGTGCTGCAGACAGACAACATGGCTGGTCCTGTCCAGTTGGCATAGAAAGAGAGGGGGAGAGAGGGAGGGAGAGGGAGGGAGAGAGAGAGAGAGAGAGGGAGAGGGAGAGAGGGAGCCTAAATTCCTCACTTCCTCCCCTCCCCTCCAGGAAACTGGAACTATTCATTATGTGCCTAAAAACTCAGTCCAGAGCTCTGACATTGCCCCCATAACAGCTGTTACAATATTTGTCTCAGGGAAAGAACCAAAGGATACCTTTACCATAACAAAACCAATTTTCAGACTGCGCTGGCATTCCCAGATCAGATGTGGTCACGCCTGGCTTGGTCGGTGGTGAGGGCTACAGACATGGAGAAGGAAAGGGATTGGGAGGAATCAAGGATGTGGTTTTACTACACCAAGGAGAAGAAGCTAATAGGGACCGATCTGTTCACTGCTCACTGGGCTTGAAAATGTTTTATTGAAATTAGGAATAAGGCTGGACAAGTCTTAACTTGATATTCAGGAGGAGTCAGTTCAGGTCACCATGTCAATCAAAGACTTGTCTGAACAATGTCTCGGCTTTTGCTAATGTAAATGCCTTATTGCCCCGTACAGACCTACAGTGGGTACTGGGTAAAAATATGTGGTCTGTATGGTTAGAGGTCTGTCTGGTAAGTGGTTTGGTGAGGTTTGCGATGCTCATAAATGGTCATAGAAGGAGTGTTTGGTTTGGTTGTGTGGGTTGGATCCAGACACTGCATTCCTGAAAGGTAATGGAAAACTGTTCCTGTCTCCTTCACTGTTCCTGTCTCCTTCGCTAACCATCAAGTTAAGGGGTAGTGCTCCCAAATTACAAACTGACCTCATCTATGGATACCAGGAAACATAATCAAGATTTTATGATTTTTTTTACTTATCAACAACAGCAATTACCATCTTGAGTGATATTTGTAATTTGGGTGAACTGTCCCTTTAACTGCATAGTAAACTCAGTCTCTTATAAGTAGATGGATGATATAATCAGATGTCATATCTCTCTAGTTTAACCCTATCAGATACCGTTACAACACCAACACAGTGTCACGTCCCACTGTCTCAGACCTGTTTTCCTCTCCGACAGGGCCGAGAGTGTTTGGTTTCAGCCGATAGGACGCTGAGTGTCCAACTATTCCTTGTGAAAATAAGAAGGGGTATTTGGGAAGGTTGGAAGTGGTTAACCTAGTGGAGAGGGTCCTGTTATTGAACCGGCAGGAGGGAGAGTAACGTTATTGGCCAGGACAGATCCCAGACGCCGACACAGATCCGCTTTCTTTTTTCGGGCTCTAAGCTCTGCGAGCCAGGCCTGTCGCCATGGGCGACCAAGCCCCGTACCTGTTTATCCTCTCGTCATGGCGACGGTGGTCCACTATGTCACGCAACACATGCATACACTGAGTGTACAAAACATTAGGAACACTTTCCTAATATTGAGTTGCACCCCCTCCGAACAGCCTCAATTCATCGGGCATGGACTCTACAAGGTGTCTAAAGCGTTCCACAGGGATGCTGGCCCATGTTGACTCCAATGGTTCCCAGAGTTGTGTCAAGTTGGCTGGATGTCCTTTGGGTGGTGGTCCATTCTTGATACACACGGGAAACTGTTGAGCGTGAAAAACCCAGTAGCGTTGCAGTTCTTGACACACTCAAACCGGTGCGCCTGGCACCTACTACCATACCTCGTTCAAAAGCATTTAAAATATTTTGTATTGCCCATTCACCCTCTGAATGGCACACATACACAATCCATGTCTCAACTGTCTCAAGGCTTAAAAATCCTTCTTTAACCTGTCTCCTCCCCTTCATCTACACGGATTGAAGTGGATTTAACAAGTGACATCAATAAGGGATCATAGCTTTCACCTGGATTCACCTGGTCAGTCTATGTCATGGAAAGAGCAGTTGTTCCTAATGTTTTGTACACTCAGTGTACACCGTCAGGAGAAAGCACAGGGGTATGTTTAGACGAAGGACGATGTTCTTGACTCCTGCACGTGGCAGAAGTAGGTGTTGATCCAAATATGTTATTGTCTAAGATAATAAAACTAAATGGGCCCTACCTTGCCCTGTCCTGTCCCGCTTTGCCCTGTCCTGTCCCGCTTTGCCCTGTCCTGTCCCGCTTTGCCCTGTCCTGCAAGCTCCACCTTGTCCTCTGCTCCAGAAGGAATTTAGTGTTATTGAGTTTAGAGGGCAAATCTCTGCACTGCTTCACCTTGAATAATGTCCTGAATAGAGGTGTGTGTGGTCTCCTATTGGTTCACTAGAACCCACCAGACGATAAGGGGTTAAAGGGGAGCTCAAAGAGTGACAACAATACCGTCCCTTTAATGGTTGTCCTTTTAATCGAGCACCGTGCTTCTTCCCGTAGGCTTCACTTCCTCCTGGTCTGGAACGTTAGTGTGGCAGATCAGTTTCCTCCGGGAAGAAAGGAAAATAAACATTGGCAGAAGAATTGAGGTTGAATCTTCTAGACATTGGGAGCCAGAATAGGCTACTGGTGCCACACAATGTCTTCATTTCTCCTCCCTGTTGTTGTTGAACTTGGAATTTGATAGGCGCAGGGTGTTCCTACTCTGTTTTTCTTTATATGTGTTGTTCTCTCTGTTGTTTCACTCTTACTCTTTTCAGTGTGTTTCCCTTTAAACTCAACTTCCCTTTCAATTTCACCTGTTCAACCTTGGCATTTACCTGTGGTCCTGTGGTCCCTATTGTTACCACCCCAGAGGAAAGTATTTTGTCGCTGTGAGTGTGACCTGGCACATTGTACTCCTGTACCTTTTCCAACCTGTGTTTTTCACCTGCTTCCATGGAGCTGTAATCCTAGATCTGAAACCAGAGACCTGTCAGCTTTCTAGTCCTAACCCACCACAGACTGGAAGAGTCTCGCATTAGCTCTGTCTATTGTCTCTAGGGCTGCAAAGCTACCGGTAGTTTACCAAAGTTACCGGAATCTATCGTAACCTTGGTAAATTATACTTGAATAACTTTTTTTTTTTTTATTCATATATAGTATTCATTTTTTATATTTTAAAAAGTTTATAGTAGATAGACCATAGGGTTCAAGAGAAAATAGCCTAATTAATGAAAAAAGCATCTAATCAACAATGCAATTATTTTCAATTAACTTTACAACACTTCCAACAATTTGCTTTTTTTCACAGCTGCCACCAGTTTGACGCCGAAACATTGACAACAAATACATACTGACATTGTCAAATAAATAAGTGTGTAAAATAAATATATAAAATATATTTAATGCTGAAACCCTCATATTAAACACCAATGGTATTCACTAAGTTGATGGTTTATATTTAAGATAATGTTTTACAGCTTTGTCATTCAATCATTTTTTGGAAAATCATCTTAAGTTATTTCATATATTTTACATGGGATAAGGCCAAACAGAGGGTCAGTGATTATTAGACACCTGTCAAATCTGAAGTACCCAAAAGGACCACTAGATGTCTTGTGATAGATTAAATAAAATCCTTGAAAGATACCCACATTCTTTGAAAGTTTCCAGTAAGATACCCTCCCTTTGCAACACGAATTGTCCCTAGTCCTCATCCGATCTGCTTGGGTGTGACCCAGTTCATTGAAATTAATTGTGCTGATGTTCCAATACACTGCATGGAAACACAGTAAAACATGATTTAACTCTATTTAAAGGGATACTTTGGGATTTTGAACTCGCCTATACCATGTTTATGTCTCTGTGTCCACTATGAAGGAAGTTAGAGGTAGTTTCACGAGCCAATGCTAACTAGTGTTAGCGCAATGACTGGGAGTCTATGGATATCGGCTAGCATGCTACTTCCAGTCATTGCGCTAACGCTAGTTAGCAAGTGCGCTAGTTAGCAACTTCCTTCAAACTGCACGCAGAGACATAAAAATGGTATCCACGGGTTCATCTGACTCTGGGGGAGTAGATAAAGGGCTTCTTTGCTAAAATCCCGAAGTACCCCTTTAAATAGAGCTGAGAGAACCATTGATAGGGATGCATCACTAAACTTAATTTGTATCTCTTTATTCTTTTTTTCCCTTCCTCCAATCTATCTCTCCCTCAGGAGTGGTGCGTGAGCTGGCTACCAAGTCAGACAGCAAGCTTAAGTCTATCTCCACCACCAGGCTCAACCCACAGCATCATCTCTGGTACGAACAGCCCAGATTTATGTTATAATTGCCATGAAAGACTTCCATGATGTCCTCATATCCTCACCGTTTCCACTCAATTGTATTGAGCCAAGCCATAGGCACATCTGTGTCTTACCCCAACTGTGACACTGACAAGGCTGTGGTAACTTCTGTCTGGTGTTACTAAACCTCCCCATTGTCGAAAATTGGGCTCTAAATTAGTGGCTGAACCACATACTAATGTCTTACATGTGTTAGCCTCGAGATGCTAAGAAAGCGCTAACGATGCATTACCTTTAACTAGAGAGCTGATCCTGCAGTGCAATGTCCTTAGGGGCTTCATCCCAATACTGTTAAGTGGCTTCCTCCCCTATGATCTTAGTCCTTAGGGGGTTCATCCTAATACTGTTAAGTGGCTTCCTCCCCTATGATCTTAGTCCTTAGCGGGTTCATCCCAATACCGTGAAGTGGCTTCCTTTCTTATGATCTTCTTGTATCCTTGCTCACGTGAAAGGACTGGAAAGTGAGGACGACCAGATAGGAAAGGAAACCATTTTTAGTATATGGATTTACCATCCACCCTTGTTTCTGTGGTATTGTTGGAACACGCTGAACATTCACTGAGTTAATTCATGGCTCAGTTATTATACGGCCCTTCTTTTTTTGTGTAGCTGAAAACCCCAGCTACTCAGACAACAGACTCACTGTTTGAACAAGACCGTAGGATGACTCAGGACAGTTTATTTGTTTATCATCATTCCTACCATCTCTGTCTAGCTTTTATAATCACACTATCATGGATATAGTTGGAATAACATTTAACACGTGGTCGCTTTAAAGTCAACCACAGAAACCACAAAACACTACATAGAATTACTATTACCTCTGTCTGCTCGCTTTCGAAAAAACAAACTCACCCAGGTGGCCATTTTGAAACCATAGGCCAAAGTCTTCATTATGTGTCTCGGTGATACAGGTATGAATCAGGAACAATAGACATATCTCCACACTTTTGAGATCTGCCCCTTCTCAAAAGCATTTTGATTCAGTGTCTGGTGTGGTGTATGGGCCTGATGTTCAATGTAACGTGGTGAATATTAACCTGGTTGTCTCTTATGTAAGTCTTTCCTCTGTGTCTCCCCAGGCCTCTAGTGTGTGAAGACATGCAGACTGATGTGGAGGATGGCCAGCTACAGTTCTTCTACCTCCTGGCCTTTCTACATCAAGGTACATTAGAAGTGTATGTATACTGAACAAAAATATAAACGCAACGTGTCGGTCCCATATTTAATGAGATGAAATAAAAGATCCCAGACATTTTCCTTACGCATAAAAAGCTTATTTCTCCCAAATGTTGTGCACAAATTTGTTTACATCAATGTTAGTAAGCATTTCTCCTCTGCCAAGATAATCCATCCACCTGACAGGTATGGCATATCAAGAAGCTGATTAAACAGCATGATCATTACACAGGTGCACCTTGTGCTGGGGACAATAAAAGGCCACTCTAAAATGTACAGTTTTGTCACACAACACAATGCCATAGATGTCTCAAGTTTTGAGGGAGCGTGCAATTGGCATGCTGACTGGAGGAATGTCCACCAGAGCTGTTGCCAGAGAATTGAATGTTCATTTCTGTACTATAAACCGCCTCCAACGTCGTTTTAGAGAATTTGGCAGTACGTCCAACCGGCCTCACAACCGCACACCACGTGTAACCACACCAGCCCAGGACCTCCACATCCGACTTCTTCACCTGGGGATCGTCTGAGACCAGGCACCCGGACAGCTGATGAAACTGAGGAGTATTTCTGTCTGTAATAAAGCCTTTTTGTGGGGAAAAACTCATTTTGATTGGCTGGGCCTGGCTTCCCAGTGGGTGGGCCTGGCTCCCAAGTGGGTGGGCCTATGCCCGCCCAGCCCCACCCATGGCTGCGCCCCTGCCCAGTCATGAGAAATCCATAGATTAGGGCCTAATGAATTTATTTCAATTGACTGATTTCCTTATATGAACTGTAACTCAGTAAAATCATTGAAATTGTTGCATGTTGCGTTTATATTTTTGTTCTGTATGTATGTATGTATGTATGTATGTATGTATGTATGTATGTATGTATGTATGTATGTGCGTGCATAAATGTTAATGTTTCTCTGTGTGATTGAGTGTATCTGTGTATCTCTCTGTCTGTGACTGCAGACATTGCATCTGTAGCCAAGCATGGCTGCAGGCTATGGTCTGTGCAGGTGAAAAGAATGTAAAGTACTGTAATTGTAACATGCACTCACCTGCTCCTTCTGTCTCTGCTGAATAGTTTTAAACTGGGTTTAGACATCAGGAGGATAGAGAAATGGAATGGTTTTAAACTGGGTTTAAACATCAGGAGGATAGAGAAATGGAATGGTTTTAAACTGGGTTTAAACATCAGGAGGATAGAGAAATGGAATGGTTTTAAACTGGGTTTAAACATCAGGAGGATAGAGAAATGGAATGGTTTTAAACTGGGTTTAAACATCAGGAGGATAGAGAAATTGAAGGGTTTTAAACTGGGTTTAAACATCAGGAGAATGGAGGAATATAATGGTTTTTTTTATTTAACCTTTATTTAACTAGGCAAGTCAGTTAAGAAAAAATCTTATTTACAATGACGGCATACCCTGGACAAACCCTCCCCTATCCCAGACGACGCTGGGCCAATTGTGCACCGGCCTATAGGATTCCCGATCACGGCCGGATGTGATACAGCCCGGGATCTAACCAGGGTCTGTAGTGACGCCTCTAGCACTGAGATGCAGTACCTTAGACAGATGCGCCACTCGGGATTTAAACATCAGGAGTATAGAGGAATAGAATAGGAAATATATCCATTGACACAGGAAAGTGTCCACCCACTTTATATCCCTGGACTTCAGTGGACCAGTGTGGGGAGAATGAGGGAGGACAATAACGTATTTCACTATATCAAAATGAAATGAATTGGGCTAACTCAGCCCATCCAGTACACTGAAGAGTGTCAATTCAGAAAGTCATGATACTGTATGGTGCCAGGTAACTGCAGTCATCTGTGGAGGATCAAAGTTTAAAGCACACTACTGTATATCGCTCCCTTCCCAGTCCTCCCACTCTCTCTCCCTGTAGGAGATCGCTGTAGTCTAGTCAGATCCAGTGTTGCATGACTCTTATTTTTCACCCTATACCCCTGGTGACTGATTGTCCACTGATCAAAGCTGGACTGTTCATTCCTGGTTTAATGGAGTATATCAACACAGAGGTGAAGAAGAGTAGGGAGCGAGAGAGAGGTGGCTGTTTCTCCATGGGGCTGCTAGGGAGATGAGAGCACTTTGTCTTATCTCACCACGGTACCGACGTCCCACTGATATGGCTCTCCCTGCGTCTGTTTACCAGATGGTAAAACACTTTGAGACGTGCCATAAAGCCCCCGGTTAGATAAATACAGTACAAGCCAAACTATTTAGATGCAAGTATATGATGATAATCAGTACAGAGGGGGGGGGGGGGGGGGGGGGGGTGTTTTAAACATTTAGACCAAATGCATATTTTCTGTGTCTTATATTTGTTCTCTCTGCCAGAAGACAGCGTGACCCCTCTGACAGTTCTGGCCACCCGGGAAACCCTGTACCTGCTCAACGAAGACCACCAATGGAGCAAGAGCTTGCCCCACCCGTCAGCCAATGAGAACGGGGAACCCTGCAGTGGGCGGGTCACTGTTCAGGAGACCCAGCCAATCAGCTGTGTCAGCTCTGTCCATCTATGGTCGTCTGACCCATGCAGAATGGACATCAAGCTTTACGATGAGGTGAGACTGAGGGAGGAAAGAGGCTTGTGATTGGTCTTAGATTAGGAAGGGCTTCTTCCAAGTTCTCAAGGGTAAGCTGGATAAGCTAAATGCTATCATGAGCAAAGTTGGGCACACGTTTGTATATTTATTAGACATTTTTCAGGATGAAATCTCTTTGAGATGCACCATCTCGTTTTCAAGAGTGTCCAGATGAAAACAACTAACAAGCGAACAATACTTAGTAAGAAGAGGAATATGGCTACTACTGTCTAATAATAATAATAATAAAAACAATGAAATTAAATGAAATTTTATTTGGCACATGCGCCGAATACAACAGGTGTAGTAGACCTTACAGTGAAATGCTTACTTACAAGCCCTTAACCAACAATGCAGATATAAGAAAAATAAGAGTTAAGAAAATATATATACAGTACCAGTCAAAGGCTTGGACACACCTACTCATTCAAGTGTTTTCTTTATTTTTACTATTTTTTACATTGTAGAATAATAGTGAAGACATCAACACTATTAAATAACACATATGGAATCATGTAGTAACCAAAAAAGTGTTAAACAAATCAGGGGGGGGGGGGTTAAATACAATAGTCCGGGTAGCCATTTGGTTAACTGTTCAGCAGTCTTATGGCTTGGGGGTAGAAGCTGTTAAGAAGCCTTTTGGACCTAGACTTGGCACTCCGGTACCGCTTGCCGTGCGGTAGCAGAGAGAACAGTCTATGACTAGGGTGTCTGGAGTCTTTGACAATTTTTAGGGCCTTCCTCTGACACCGCCTGGTATAGAGGTCCTGGATGGCAGGAAGCTTGGCCCCAGTAATGTACTGGGCCGTACGCACTACCCTCTAGTGCCTTGCGGTCGGATGCCGAGCAGTTGCCATACCAGGCAGTGATGCAACCAGTCAGGATGCTCTCGATGGTACAACTGTAGTACCTTTTGAGGATCTGAGGACCCATGCCAAATCTTTTCAATAAAAACTACTGCTACTACTACTAATACAACTAATAAAACTACTGCTACAACTAATAAAAACTACTACTAATACAACTAATAAAAGTCAATTTAGTGATAACAGTTCATTTAGTGATTCAGACATTGTGCAATGATTTCTTATAATGGCATTCAATCTGCAAAGATTGTTATAAAAGACATCTCATTCGCAAAGTAAGGTCTTGGTTGTGTTTTGATAGATGATGTCACAATAGTCTAGGACAGGAAGCAGCAGTTTGGTTACTAAGGTCTTTCTAATGGATACAGTAAAACAATTCTTAGATCTGTATAGTAACCCAAGTTTATAGTTTCTAATATAATCTAAATGCTGTCCAAAAGATATTTCAGAATCTATCCTCAAACCCAGATATTTCAAACAAATAACACTTTGAAGCGTTGTTCCATCACTTAAAATAATTTTGAAATTGCCAGCTGTGGAGTTTATTCTTTGCCGTGTGCCAAACAGCATGATATAGGACTTTGTGTGACTTTGTGTGACTTTGTGTGTGTGTTTGCGTATACAGTACATAAGAGTGTCTGTGTGTGTTTCCTGTGCAGATAGTGAAGGAGGAAAAGACGTGGTCGTTACGCTCTGACAGTACAGAGCTGGTGCAGGGCCTACTGGTGTGGGTCAGAACACAATGGGAGAACATGTTCGGAGTCAAACTCACCATCACCACCCTCACCCCACCAGCCTGAGGGAAAACACCCACCCGTCCAACCGTGTTTGTGTGCACATGCATGAGTGTGAGGGTCTGTCTCTCTGTCTTCACTGTCAGACCTGTCCCTCAATATGACAATATGTTTACCTGTTTTGAAGCCAACTATGATTGGTCAATTTTACAAAAGCACTGATCTGTTAATGTCCTCATCTGAATCCCGTCCATTTTATAACCCTGCCAGCCTGTATAGCCAGCCTGTATAGCCAGCCTGTATAGCCAGCCTGTATAGCCAGCCTGTATAGCCAGCCAGTACAGCCAGCCTGTATAGCCAGCCTGTATAGCCAGCCTGTATAGCCAGCCTGTATAACCAGCCTGTATAACCAGCCTGTATAGCCAGCCTGTATAGCCAGCCAGTACAGCCAGCCAGGGAGAGTGCCTTGTGTTTTTGCCAGTCCTGCTATGTTCTAATGCTCATATGCACCCTGAATTTGTGAAAGGAGAGAGGGGGAATCATGTGTTTCTTTCAGAGGAGTTGAGGACAGGATAAGGAGGGAGAAAGGGTTTTAAGCAAAGATGTGAGTTGGGGGTAATTGTGTGTGTGCGTGCATGTGTGTGTTTTATCATGGAAGTCAGTCCATTACTCTGCAGGCAACCTCAGTGGACTGTGACTTCATCAGGAGTCCCGGGACTGGAGCAGTGAGTTGTGACATCACGCGCTCGGCACAAGGCTCTCTAGCCGTCCCGTGAGGCTCCGCTCCAGACACCTCTGACGTGACACCTCTTAGTTCCTTTCTCTCTAATCAGGGACTTTTGATGTCTCTATTCACTGTGTGATTATGTAAAGGAAAAGGCCAACCGAAGCCCGGAGTAAGGGCAACCCAAGTGAAGAGTTGCAGCTAAGGCAATGAAGTGGGACAGTATCGGTGTTCTGTATTTTTGGGAAAAGTGCAGATATACTCATGATAGGGACTGTGATATGAAAGGGTTCTGATTTACCTGTTTTAAAGCCAGAGATGTTAGTTGGTTTGTGGCTGTCTGTTAAAATGTATAGTCTTATGCTAATATATCTCTAGTGCAGTTTAACTATATTGCGGATGTCATAAGTGAGTACTATTTTTGATGTAGACAGATGAAAAGAGATGTAAAAGTGGACGACAAACAGACGTGTATAACTTAATTTATTGACTGTCAGCAATGTGTTTGTTACAAATCAATGATAAAAAAGGCTAGCTTTTTATACTTTGTTAAATAAAAATGCATGTCTGTGGTACAATACATCCTCCTATGTCATTTGTATTTCCACATGTTTATGTCCAACTCTTTCACTTTCAAAGTGAGAAAGTTACTTTTCCCTCTGTAATCATGCAGTTCCAGAAGGATTTTTCATTGTTCTCACAGTCAGCCCAACGTCAACCACTAGACCACAACCGCAGCAATGAACCCCCCTCCCCGTCACGCTAATCCTCCCCAGTTGACAGTCTCCACACAACTACCAATAATCATCACTTTCTGCCCCATCAGACCCCCCTGCGGTTCTTCAATGAAACATTTGACAATTCCTAAGATTTTATTGTGTAATACAAGAACATTTCCTCACCAAGTAACATTTTTTCATAGTAGGAGGAATACAAATTCTGAAATGTTACGGGAAGCTTTGGAATAGATTGTCTACTATAGGCTTAACCATCACACCGATAGTCTCTATCCATTCCTGTCATATCTGGGATCACGAGGAAGAAGAGAAGGACAGAAGGAAGCACTTTAAAACCCTCCAGAGGTCAAATGGTTTCCTTTCAGGAAGAGATCTCCATCTATGGTCATGGCATCAAGGGCCTGTTCATCTGGACCAATGTTCAAAGCAGCGTTAAATGTTCCAAGCATTGCAGAAATGTACTCAAATCAATCAAATGTATTTTATATACATATATCAGCAGTTGTCAGAAAGTGCTTTACAAAATGGCATATTATTATTATTATAAGATACCCAGCCTAAAACCCCAAAAGAGAAAGCAGCACAACGGCTAGGAAAAATTCCCTAGAAGTCAGGAACCTAGGAAGAAACTTGGAGAGGAACCATGCTCAGTTCTCTTCTGGCTGTGCCGAGGGGAGAGTTAAGAGTAGATGTGGTCATTAAGGCCATTAATTCCAGAAGTTCAAACGTTCATAGATCACCAGCAGGGTCATATAATAACCATGGTGGCTATAGAGAGGGCAACAGTTCAACAACTCAGGGGTCAATGTCAGTTGGCTTTTCATAACCAGGTATTCTGAGATGAGAGAGAGAGTGGCCGGTGAATCAGGTCAGGGGTCAACAGCAGCAGTCAGGACCACAGAACGAACTGGATCAGTATGACCAGGTAGACTGGGGACAGGGACAGCCAGGAGTCGTCAGGCCAGGTAGTCCTGAGGCATGGTCCTAGGGCTCAGGTCCTCCGGGACGATAGAGGGGAATTAGAGAATGGAAGGGTACCAAACACATCAAAAACATGGAAACATTACAATGAGCCTGTCCTCCTATAGCTCATCCCACCAGCCTCCTCTGATAGAGAGAGAGCATGCCTAAGAACACACAGTACATCAGATTTTTTATTTTATTTTATTTCACCTTTATTTAACCAGGTAAGCCAGTTGAGAACAAGTTCTCATTTACAACTGCGACCTGGCCAAGATAAAGCAACGCAGTGCGATAAAAACAACAACACAGAGTTACATATGGGGTAAAAAAACATAAAGTCAAAAAATACAACAGAAAATATATATACAGTGTGTGCAAATGTAGCAAGTTATGGAGGTAAGGCAATAAATAGGCTATAGTGCAAAATAATTACAATTAGTATTAACACTGGAATGCTAGATGTGCAAGAGATTATGTGCAAATAGAGATACTGGGGTGCAAAAGAGCAAAATAAATAACAATATAGGGATGAGGTAGTTGGGTGGGCTAATTTCAGATGGGCTGTGTACAGGTGCAGTGATCGGTAAGGTGCTCTGACAACTGATGCTTAAAGTTAGTGAGGGAGATAAGAGTCTCCAGCTTCAGAGATTTTTGCAATTCGTTCCAGTCATTGGCAGCAGAGAACTGGAAGGAATGGCGGCCAAAGGAGGTGTTGGCTTTGGGAATGACCAGTGAGATATACCTGCTGGAGCGCAGACTACGGGTGGGTGCTGCTATGGTGACCAATAAGCTAAGGCGGGGATTTGCCTAGCAGTGGTTTATAGATGGCCTGGAGCCAGTGGGTTTGACGACGAACATGTAGTGAGGACCAGCCAACAAGAGCGTACAGGTCACAGTGGTGGGTAGTGTATGGGGCTTTGGAGACAAAACGGATGGCACTGTGATAGACTACATCCAATTTGCTGAGTAGAGTGTTGGAGGCTATTTTGTAAATGACATCGCCGAAGTCAAGGATCGGTAGGATAGTCAGTTTTACGAGGGCATGTTTGGCAGCATGAGTGAAGGAGGCTTTGTTGCGAAATAGGAAGCCGATTCTAGATTTAACTTTGGATTGGAGATTCTTAATGTGAGTCTGGAAGGAGAGTTTACAGTCTAACCAGACACCTAGGTATTTGTAGTTGTCCACATACTCTAGGTCAGACCCGTCGAGAGTGGTGATTCTAGTCGGGTGGGCGGGTGCCAGCAGCGTTCGATTGAAGAGCATGCATTTAGTTTTACTAGTGTTTAAGAGCAGTTGGAGGCTACTGAAGGAGTGTTGTATGGCATTGAAGCTCGTTTGGAGGTTTGTTAACACAGTGTCCAATGAAGGGCCAGATGTATACAAAATGGTGTCGTCTGCGTAGAGGTGGATCTGAGAGTCACCAGCAGCAAGTGCGACATCATTGATATACACGGAGAAGAGTCGGCCCAAGAATTTAACCCTGTGGCACCCCCATAGAGACTGCCATAGGTCCAGACAACAGGCCCTCCGATTTGACACATTGAACTCTATCTGAGAAGTAGTTGGTGAACCAGGCGAGGCAGTCATTTGAGAAACCAAGGCTATTTAGTCTGCCAATAAGAATGCGGTGGTTGACAGAGTCGAAAGCCTTGGCCAGGTCGATGAAGACGGCTGCACAGTACTGTCTATTATCGATCGCGGTTATAATATCGTTTAGGACCTTGAGCGTGGCTGAAGTGCACCCATGACCAGCTCGGAAACCGGATTGCATAGCGGAGAAGGTACGGTGGGATTCGAAATGGTCGGTGATCTGTTTGTTAACTTGGCTTTCAAATACTTTCGAAAGGCAGGGCAGGATGGATATAGGTCTGTAACAGTTTGGATCTAGAGTGTCACCCCCTTTGAAGAGGGGGATGACCGCGGCAGCTTTCCAATCTCTGGGGATCTCAGACGTTACGAAAGAGAGGTTGAACAGGCTAGTAATAGGGGTTGCGACAATTTCGGCGGCTAGTTTTAGAAAGAAAGGGGGCAGGTTGGGCAGGTTGCAGCGGAGGGTGCAGAGTTGGTGGCCGGGGTAGTGGTAGCCAGGTGGAAAGCATGGCCAGCCGTAGCAAAATGCTTGTTGAAATTCCCGATTATTGTAGATTTATCGGTGGTGATAGTGTTTCCTAGCCTCAGTGCAGTGGGCAGCTGGGAGGAAGTGCTCTTATTCTCCATGGACTTTACAGTGTCCCAAAACTTTTTGGAGTTAGTGCTACAGGATGCACATTTCTGTTTGAAAAAGTTAGCCTTTGCTTTCCTGACTGCTTGTGTATATTGGTTCCTAACTTCCCTGAAAAGTTGCATATCGCGGGGGCTATTTGATGCTAATGCAGTACGCCACAGGATGTTTTTGTGCTGGTCAAGGGCAGTCAAGTCTGAGGAGAACCAGGGGCTATATCTGTTCTTAGTTCTGTATTTTTTGAATGGGGCATGTTTTTTTAAGATTGAGAGGAAATTACTTTTAAAGAACAACCAGGCATCCTCTACTGACGCAATGAGATCTATATCCATCCAGGATACCTGGGCCAGGTCAATTAGGAAGGCCTGCTCGCTAAAGTGTTTTAGGGAGCGTTTGACAGTGATGAGGGGTGGTCGTTTGACCGCGGACCCGTTACGGACGCAGGCAATAAGGCAGTGATCGCTGAGATCCTGGTTGAAGACAGCGGAG